CGTGCGTCAGCAGCGTTTCCAACCGAATCAATACCGACTTTGTCTCCCCCATCATCCTAATTTATGACACCCCAAGCTTCGCTACTTCCATCATATTCTATTCTAACCATCCTTTATTGGTTAGAGTACAAACCAATAGTATCAAAGATTTGGAATCTTCGCCAATTTGCATAAACTACACCTCTTCATCAACTATTTAGCATGATACACGTGTACCGTTACCAAGACCTAGAAATCTAGTTCTTTGCAGACGCCGTCGCGTCTACCAAGCCAAACAAGGCCGCCGATTCTGGCGTAAATTTTACTTTCGTATAAGCTTAAAACAGTTGGCTATGTAGATAACTTTTGAACTTGAAACCGGAACGCAACGGCATAATTATTGAGCGGAAGCAAGATGTACGCGTGTTCGATCCTGCGCCGGTTTGTTACGTAGGACGATCTGATCTACGCAGGTCTTTTTATTTTGTGTTAAAAGGAGCCTCCTCTTTGAGGTGGCCGTGCGTTGTGCGCAACCTCGTTTGTAGGTCGATGGGTCGAGGACCGAAGGACACGTGTATGCGTGATGTACATCCTGGATGGAAAATCTCCGAGGCTAATAGTTTTTTTTTTGATTATTATTAATAGATTTCATTGCTGTTATGCCTTTTGTTTTATATTGGTTCTATGCCATCGCCTAAGCCACTTACTTCATTTAGTATAGTCCAATGATGGTGATTTTGTGTCATATCTTTAAACTAATAATATCTATATTTACGTGTTGGCTAAAATCAAGAATAAACCTTCCGCTAAAATTAACTCAAAGATGTTGAATGAACGCCGTGCAATTTTAACTCAAATTATGTATTTGTCATAAGACTTGACACTCACAGAGTTGGTAATAATTGCGTAGGAGTCGCACATTGTGCTAGTACGCACACGTGGAGAATATCCGAGAAGGTCGTAAATGAACCGAGTGATCGATTTTTCAGCCCACACCGCAGAAAATTTGCCCCAGTGCTACTCTTGTTTTTATTATAATGTAGGGGTTGCTAGGACGGGGGTATTCGGCTACCCCAAAATTCTAAATTTTAATCAATAATTTAGTAAACTCAATTTTATTTTTCAAATAAAAATGTGAGTTTAAAAGAATTGAAAGAAATGAAAATGCGTAATACTTAGTATCTTTGTAATCTAACCTTCACCTCTTAGAAAGTTTGGAACGTTGAACTAAGCATGAAAAGTTTTCTATGCATCGGTGCACATAATCGGAGTTTTAAATTAATATTAAATTTGTAGCTTCTACTTTATCATTAAAATCACCACCTAATTTTAATTTAATAACACTCCCTCAAAATTCATCTTAATGTTTCTTCAAAAAATTAAGGAGACAAATGTTAAACTAAAGAAAGGTTACATAGGTTCAAGTTCTGAATCTAGGGTAAGGAACGCTTCTTTGGTCCGGATTCGGCACGTGGAAGTCCGGACCACGTGCATTCCGCCTGAAGGGTTCGACGAACCTCCCGGGTTCTCCTTCTGTGCTGATCGATAAGCGGCAGTAAATGACAGAGAAACAGCAAATCCTCCCGGTTTTGAGAAGGGGAACTATGACTATGACGGAGATGTCAGGGGTTGAAGAAAAGAAATTAGCAAAAACAGTAGGGGGAAAGAGACAGATTCGAATCTTGAAACGGGAGTGGCTCTAATGATAGATTTGGTGAGCGGGCGATGTGGAGGGAATGGAATTTATCAATGCTAAGGTCAGTGTACTAAGTAACGAGTCAGTTAAGTCATAAATTATATGGTGGATAATAGGAGCGTGATGAAATTCGTGTGTTTTGGTGGAGTCAATGTTTCTTTTTATACTTTTGACCCGAAACAATGACCTGAGTCAATGCGTTTTGTATGATTGGAAAATATTAAATTAGAAATTTATTCTTTCTAAAATAAAAATGTAGTAAGAAGATATTTAAAAAAAAAATTTTAGTTAATAGAAAAAAATTAATCACGAGGACTCCATACGTTGCTTTCTTGAGAGCGAAGAATAGCAGATAAAGTGATAGAGCGTTGAGATATAGGTGTATTATCACAGTGTATGAAGCTTAACCTCAGCAAACGAATACAAAGAGGAGAGTCAAAAAATAAAACATTGGCGAAGTTAGAAGATGATCATTATATTAAGGCAATTTAAAACCTGCAGTATTTAGTCTTCCGCTTACAGCCGCTCTAATCATCACCAAGTAGTATTTAATAACTTAAAGTAATATCTCGTGTTCTGACATCAATATCTAATCTTTTGACATCAGTATCCAGTCTCTTGTTAGTTGTATCTAACCTTCTGCAGGTTCTGCCATCAGTATCTAGTCTGTTGCAAACAGTATCCATCTTCTCCAAGTGGTATCTAATCATTTACAAGTAGTGTGTAGCCTTCTGCCATCAGTAACTCGTCATCGATTTTGTGCATCTTCTGCTTCTGTTACTGCAAGCTTAATACTAAACTCAAGGTGAATGTTTTGTATGTAATATGTTGTCTTGGTTTAGTTGTCTTCTTCTTATTCTTGTAGTTCTTGCAAGGAATAAGAGGCGTCGATCGGGATTTCTTTTTTCATCTTCTTTATTATAGAATACTCAAACGATTGCCTTGTTATATTGTTTGGTGTTTTTTATAAAGTATGTCCATAATTACCATAATTTTTTTAATCGCGGCTATTATAAAGATAAAAAATTTATCAATTTCACTGAAGAATTTTGAACTAAAATTCAATTGGGTACATATAAAAATAAATTCAGTGTCATTTATTTTTAACTTTAAACCTCTTAACTATCACTGTATAAAGTTACTATATAAAATATCTTGAGACACCTGTTCCCGTTTTAAAATGATTACAAAGATAGATCCCGTATATAATTAGAACCGAATCACTTAGAAATGTCTATAAATATTTTAGGCACTAAAAGCATTTTTAGTTAAAATAAAACAATTTCATTAAAGAAACAAAGAAAGATCTAGACTACTCTTAACATTTCAAGAATGTAAATTAATAATTAAACCATTCTTGAACGTTGTAGGTATTTACAACAAATCTTTATTAAATATGGTGGAAATATTTACAATATGATAAAAAAACTATTTTTGTTATAAATTTGTTTATATATGTACTATACAGTTATTTTAAACAGTCATTTTTTTGTTACCAAAAATTCATTTTGAATTAAACTTCCGTGTCACGCACTACAACATCACGTGGTGAATAATAAAAGCTCGGTTCCCACATCTCAAAAAGAAGTAACTCCTTCACCGAAAGCCCACCATCGAAAAAATAAGGAAAAGAAAGACAACGGTCAAAAAAACACGTACAATGAGATGGCCAACCGTAAAATAATGAAGGAACTCCGATGCAGCTCAAGCTTCGTAATGCAGCAGACAACGAGAACTTTGAACCAAGTATTTCAACATTCATCATAATATGAACACGTTATTTTGATTCTTCAATGCATTTTTTTTGTCTTTTTGTTATTTTTTTATTTACTATTTTGATCTTGATACGAGTTTTTATCAGCCATGACCCGTATACAAATATTTAATGAAACGCATCCTCTATGTAGTGCGTACGTGCATCTGATGACAGAGGAGGTCTTTGAACTTGTTCTTTTCGTGAAGAATGGAGCAAGACTTGAAACGCGAACGCTTTGACGAGAGAAAGTTTTTTCCCGGGTTTTTAACGGAAAAGGTAAAGAATGAGAAAGAGACGAAGAAAAAACCACATTTAGTTTTCGAGAATCGCTCCTGGTTTTAACCTTTAACAAAGTGTTTGAAAACGATTCCAAGCTTTTAAACTCGACTGTTAAATTATGTTAATTGAAGCTTAATGTGTCCCAAAAGTAAAAACGTTTCTTCTTTAAATGCATCTATTTTAAAAAAAAAATCTAATGGTCATTAATCTTAAAATGGGAAGATTGAATGAGTGAGTGAATTTAGTGGTGAGATCGATGACGAAAAAGCATCAAGGACTCGATAGGGGGCCTCGTGTGTTAGAAGGAAGGTTATTGACTCCTAGACGAAAAATTTTACTATCGAAGTAGTGAAGCATTGGATTGCTTAAACGCGCCGGGAGTCAACGCTCCCTAAAATTTCAGGACTACGCCACGCGAGGCATAAAAGTTCCCCCAAAACCAAACCATAAATCATGATCCAATGATTCACTTTTCCTTTATTCCAAATAATTCCTCATCTTCAATCCCGATAGTCGCCTTATTACCTATTTTTGCCCTTCGTCGATCGTAAAAGAAAATCTGATGGAGTGATGTTGTATGACCTAACGTTAAAATCACAAAACGCTTTGTAATACGTTTGCGCGAAATATTGATTTGGGAAAACAGAGGGGAAAACGTTATCACGCATATAAAAAGATACAGTACAGTTAATTCCAAATTTTCGGCCAAAATCACTTCTGTTAATACGCAAAATAATTATGCGCATAAATAAATGTTGTTATCAGGTTATGAGTCATTCAATATTATTTTATATTTCACATTTTCTTTCCCATAGTAGTATCTAATCACCTACAAATAAGGAGAGTATTCTATTATTAATATGTAACCTTCTGCAAGTAAGGGGAGTCTTCTGCCATCAGTATCTAATCTTTTGCAAGTAATGAGAATGTTCTGTCATCAGGATCAAACTTTCTGCGAGCAAAGAATCATCAGCATCTAGACTTCTCCAAACAATATATTGTCTCCTGGAATCAGTATCCATCGTCTCCAAGTAATATCTATACATCTACACTGGGTTAACCATTTGATATGAGTTGTCTAACTCATTTTGGATAACCAGCTGTAAATTCACTGTTCTACTTAAAACTACAATATCATAAGAAAGCAAGATCAATTTTATTTATAACTACTTGTAAAAAGAATGTGACTGACACCTATTCATAATTTACTCAACTAAACAACATAAGTATAAATTTTATGAATTTCTCAATAGATGGCGTAAGAAAATACCAAATCTTCTTTATCGACATTAACCGGGTTTATGCTAAATTTCTAGGTTATGTTTGATAAACGTTAGCGTTACGTTCGTTTTAATACTAATTTGATAACTGAGTAAGCAATAACCGCTTTAAAATGGTAAGTAATTTGTTAATTCACGCCAAAACTCGTAATTTATCCGAGAAATTTTTTTTAGACGATCGGCAAAAATAATAAAATGATTCAACACATAAACTACAGGGTTAGAATCACCCTGCAAGATTCCCGTACTTTCATCGGGACCTTTAAAGCCTTCGATAAACACATGAATATGATCTTGGGCGATTGCGAGGAATTTCGTAAAATCAAACCGAAAAATTCGAAAGTCGAACGTGAAGAAAAACGCGTTTTGGGATTTGTATTATTAAGAGGTGAAAGCATTGTTTCTCTTACTGTGGAAGGGCCCCCTCCCCCAGAAGAAGGACTCCCGCGGGTTCCTATTCCAGGAGCAGCTCCTGGACCTGGTATTGGGAGAGCAGCTGGGCGGGGTATGCCAGCTGGTATTGGTGGGGTTCCGGTGGGGCTTCAAGGACCAGTGAGAGGTGTCGGGGGACCCTCTCAACAAGTTATGACCCCTGGAGGTCGTGGGCAGGTTTCAGCTCCACCTCAAATGAATCAGGGTCCACCAAGAATGGGGGGTCCACCTCCAGGAATGATGGGGCCTCCACCGGGTATGATGGGAATGCCGCCTGGGATGGGAATGGGAAGAGGGGGGCCACCACCAATGGGGATGAGAGGTCCGCCACCTGGAATGATGCGTGGTGGTCCTCCTGGACCTCCAAGACCACCATATTAATCATAGTCTTTTTTTATAATTTTGAAATTGAATACCATTTTTTTTGTAATGTATTTAAGGTGTATTAATAAACTAAATACTTTGAATCTGAATTAAAGAGAAATTATTTCTATATTATCATACATAATATAAGGACATAAGGAAATATATATAAATATGTCATCATATTTACTGAGTTATTTGGAACTCTCATAAAATTTATTAAGTGTAGCTATTTTTTGAAACAATTTAAAAGTACTTAAAAAAATATTTGCAAGATTTATAATTAGTAGAATATATTTATTAATCACGGCTGTGGCATTTTTAAAACAAATTGAATTAAGCGAAAAAGAATGAAATAAAAAAGTTTATACAGCTGTTATTAAAAATCGTACCTCAATATTGCATGGGCATTAACTACAATATTTTAAGGAACAACTTAAAAATTAATAAAATTAATTGAATGTAAAAATAGCACTATAAAGTTCCAATTAATTTATATTTAACTTAAAAACCGTCTCACGTACCGCAATAAATTAATATTGAAATTCAACTATATGACCATATTTATTTCTCATTATTTTTTAGATTTTCCATTATTACTCTCCTTATTATCTTTAAAAATCTTCGCTTTCAGATGCTCCTTGTATTTTAATATATCTCCCTGCCATTTGGTAACCGTTCCATTCTCACATATCCAAATTTCCTCAGCCACTTGGCTAATCAATCTAAAATCGTGGCTAACCAACACCATTCCACCATCAAAATCGTTAATCGCTTCAGCTAACGCATCGATCGTTTCCATATCAAGATGATTAGTAGGTTCATCAAGCAACAACAGATGAGGTACTTGCCACGCTAACCACGCAAAAACCACTCTACAACGTTGACCATCAGAAAGCTGTCTTATAGGACAAACTTGTTGACGCCCTGTTAATCCGTATCGCCCGATAATTTTTCGCATTTCTTCGCGTTCTTTTACTTCCGGAAATGATTTTAACATATAATCCAAGGGGGACATATCCAAATCAAGCAATTCATGTAAATGTTGGTGATAACGTGCTATTCGAAGATGAGAATTTTTTCGAATCATTCCTTCAGTTGGAACAAGCTATAATTAAAATTAAAAAAGAAATTAATTAAAAAAGATATGATATAAGGTGTTTGAGAAATAGTTAGCAACATCCTATTTTTATTAGATCCATTGTAACTATGGTTCTGAAATATTTTTATGATATACCAGGTGATTTATAACATGTGGAGCAGACCAAAAGGGTAGGTTGGAAAATTTTTGATAATTTTTAGTCAACTTTGTACCTACAAGTTTTGTACTTTTTTACATTCGCTGGTTTTGAATGCGCAATGCACACTACATGATTTATGATGGTTCTATTGACAAATGAAAGAAACATAGTAACAGCGAATCGATTAATATGATTCGACATGTGAGCCATTCGTTGCAGGTCTCGGAGTCGACAATACAGTAACTTAAGAAAGAAAACCACACAGCACGATTTATAGTAACTATTGACGAATGAAGGCAACACTCAAGCAACGAATCAGCGAATATGATTCACTAAGTGAGCCATTTGTCTCTGGTAGGCCAAATTGAAGATATTTTCTTTAATAATGTTTTGATCACAACTTCATAATACAAAGATATAGAACGTTAAACTTGAATTAATGGCCAAGCATTACTACCATACTACAACCATACCGTATACGGTATATTACTCTACATTTAAATTCAAACTGCGAATATTTCGGGGTTATTTAAACAATGCATAATTAACAAAAATAATAAAATCTTTATAATATGGCAGTTATGGCTATTTAAAAATATTCGCAGTAAAATATTTACTTAAAAAACGCTCAAAAACTGGTGTTTGTTGAGAACTGCTGATACCATGTTTTTATTGCTGCCAATCCAGTTGATTTGGTCACTTAGCAGCGGTAATGACGTCACGGTCGGACATGTCATTTAATATTTAATAAACAATGTCATTTAACGACAAAATTAAAACTATTAGAGCTGCTGGAAAAAACGCTGCACACGATCCAAATAAGACCTCTTTATTTGGAACGATTTCCATATCGACAGATGTCTTCAGAAAACACTTTTCTTCAGTTAGTCCAGTGGGGAAGAGATACAGGAAATTTGCAACCTAAGAAAGCTCTTGGTGGTGGTACACCAAACAGATATGTAGTGAATGTAGAAAAAGAAATTCTAGATATTGTTGATGCAGATCCAAGTAGTAGTACTCATCAAATTCAGCTGAAAGTTCCCCAGCACTTTGTATGGGGTACATTGAAAAGGAATGGTTTATACCCCAACCATTTGCAAAAGGTGCAAGGACTGACTCCTGCTGATTATCCTTTGCAGCTGCTATTTTGCAAGTGGATAAATGTTTGTTTTAGAGAATTTGTATTTAAAAAAAATTATTATCAGACGTTTCATAAATTAACATCTCTACTAATTAACAAAACTACTGAAACAATAAATTGTCTAGTTTTACAACTCCTTCCAAATGAGGATGTTGTTGATAAGTATTTTAATTGTTCTTTACTGAATATCAGCGATTCTCAAAAATGGACGTTAACTTATTTAAAAATTAACCTGCAATATCTACATAACTATTAAGTTTTTAACAAAACATTATTAAGAAAATCTCTTCAGTTTGACCCCTATGTACTAGGGGTACCCTTTTAGTCTGCTTTGTATTTTATAAATCATTCTGTATTTTTATTGAACTAAAACTAACACTAAACCTAGAGCTAGAAACATTCGAGTTTAGCCGTCTTAAGAGACGCACAGCTAAACCTGAATGATTCTAGTTGTGCATATCTAAAAACGGTTACTTTTGGTGGATTTTTGATGGAAAAAAATTAGGGTGTTGCTAACTTTTGTATACAATTACATACATCTCCATATAGTAGTTTTAATAAAGTACTTTTTCCAGCACCATTTGGTCCAACCAAAGCAATTCTTGTATCCAAATCAATACCAAATTCGACATTTTTGTAGATTAAAGGACCGGTATCGCCATATCGAAAACTAACGTTTTGCACCATAATAACAGGGGGAGGGACTTTACCACAACTGGGAAAATAAAAAGTAACCGTTTTATCTGTGATAACTTTCTCAGTTAAACCTCCAGCGACCATTTTAGCTAAAGTTTTTTCTTTTGATTGAGCTTGTCTAGCCAACTTTGCAGAACCATGACCAAATCGAGCAATATAATTCTAAAAGTAACAAAGAATTAGCTTAAATTTTTTTAATTATTATTATTTATTACTTTCATGTGATTAATTTGGTCCTGCTCCCAGTTGTACTGCTTCATTTGATTTTCCAAAAGCTCCAATCTAGTACGAACAAAAGCATCATAATTCCCTGTGTAATACTTCAATCGCTTCTTGTTCACATGAACAATGTTTGTGCACACTCCATTTAAGAAATCTTGAGAGTGAGAAATTATCACTAAAATTCTCTTATAACTAAAAACAAAATTAACTTTAAATTTATTTGCTTTAAATTAAATATTTGGGTTCACTAACTGTTTTAATTCTTCTTCTAACCATACACACGCATCCAAATCTAAATGATTCGTAGGTTCATCAAGGAGCAATAAATGTGGTTTGACATACAAAGCTCTCGCTAAAGCAATCCTCATGCGCCAACCTCCACTAAAATCTTTCGTCTTCTTATTTTGCATTTCCTTGGTGAAACCCAACCCGTGCAAAATATTAGCAGCCCGAGCTTCGGCTGTATCCGCAGAAATTTCATCTAATCGTTCATACACATCCATTAATTGCTCCTGAGACTCGTCGTCTTCACACGCAACAAGTTCCTCAACTAATTTCTCCAAACGAATTCTCTCCTCGTCCACTTCCATGACACATTGTAAAGCAGACTTATCGGATGCGGGCATCTCGCGAGTGAGATGGAAGATATCTATGTGATTTGGAATTGGAACTTCTCTATTACCTAATACTGCCAAAATCGTAGACTTTCCTTTTATTAAAAAAAAATAGATTGTTAATAAATAAAGTAAGAGAGAAAAAAGGTTGTTTTTACCACATCCATTAGCTCCCAATAACCCATATCTTCGCCCGCAATTTAATTCCAACAATGCGTCTTGCAACATCTCGGATCCATGAAAAGTAATTGAGAAATTTTCAATTTTTATATCCCTGGATTTAGGATGCACAGCCAACGAACCGGTACAAGCCCTAGCTTCAGCATTTAAACGAGCGTCTGCTTCTAATTTTGCACAGAGAGCTTCTTCGGGACTCAAAGGTGTTCCATTAGCCATAGTTCCATTACTTTTCACCTCATCATCCTTTGGGGCATTAGGAATTTTTTTTCCCTGACGTGCTTTAGCAGCATCCTTTTTACGTTGTTGTTCGCGTTTTTTTGCGTCAGACGGCATGATGAAAACTGTTGAAAGTAAAATATATTGAGTAACCGTGAAATTCCGCAACGTAACAGCATGGTAAAGTTCGTTGAATTTAGTGACATTAACTATTAATTATCAATCAACCGTAAAATGATTTAAATTGGGTTGAAGTGAAACGTGAAATTGTTTAAAGCAAGGTTCGAGTGATACGTTGGAATTTTGCTAATGTTGGTGATTAAAATATGTGGTTATACGTGTATAATCAAATAAATATTTTGTACTCACGTGTGGATATCTGATAGCGGTATTCTTGAAGACTTTTTGACAGGAAATTTTCCCCAGACCGTGATTGCCCTCTACAAACAATTTTTGGTACTACAAGAATTACGATATAAATTTATTTTTTATAAACGATTTAATTTTAATTTTACGAAAAAACTTTATTAGGCTTAAATTAAATAAGTTTATATTTTAAATCAGCTTATTAATCCTAAATTTTTTGATTTTAATTTGTCATAATAACTGGGATTATTAATTTATCTAAAGTTGGTAACATCTTAGTAACTTATTTAACAGATTCGATGTACGTGTACTTTTCAATAATTAAAGCCCTAAAATTGTATCAAAGTTAAATTATGACCCAAAAAAAGGATGGTTTACTCGCAAGGGTTAATTTTCCATTGTACACGGTACAAATGCTCACAAGTCGACACGTTTTGGTTGGCGGAGGGGGCGGCTCCTCCAAAACGGGGGTTGCAAACGGCTTTGTAAGATTTTCTTTTACAAAAGCTATCATAATTAATTATTACGAATTTGATTTAAGGAAGTATTCGAATTATCACATAACGGCGAAAAATTCGTTGCAGAAGAAGTGATTCGTCACGAAACGGGGCGTTGCGTTGTTATGAATTGCGCTACATACAGTGATAGTCGTCATTCGTATTTAGTAGCGGGACAAGAAAGTCATTGTCAGTTATATCGGGTTAAAAGTGAATTAAAGAGCGGTGAAGAAGTAATTGAAACTATTGGTGATGATACAACATTAAGAAATCGAAAAGAAAAGACAATAAAAAAGGAGGAAGTTCCTAATGGGTTAAATAAAAAGTTAACATTCGCTTTTAAGGCAGCTGATAGCATACAAACTGATTATAATAAAGAAGAACCGGTTCAACGGGTTGTTAGAATTTCGAAAAATGGAAAAATTATGGCCACTGGTGGTACAGATGGAATCGTTCGTTTATGGAAATTTCCAAGTTTGGAAAAATATGGGGAATTAAAAGTTCATACGAAAGAAATTGATGATATAGATTTTAGTTTACATGATAATTATGTTGTTACAATTGCTAAAGATGGTCTGGGTATTGTTTGGGATTATATTAAAAAGAAACAAGTTACTGAACTTAAATGGTCTCAGCCAAATGGATCAAAATATTTATATAAGAGGTCAAGGTAAAAATTAAATCAAAACTTATTATAATTTTTTCTTCTCCTGAGTCTTATGCCTGATGGAGTTTGATAAATCTTTTCCTATTCCTCCATCCACTTCCTTTGGTTCCTGGCTAATTCCTTTATATCTGCTTGAGTCTTCCCTCTCTACTTTCTTCCTAGGTTTTCCCCACTTTTTCTTATGCTTAGCTTCAAATAGCTTTTTTATTATTGTGTTCTATTCTGTTCTATTCTAATGATGTGGGTGTACCAGTTTAGCTGCTTTCTTTTTATTTTGCTGATTATCTCTTGATCTACTCCCAGTCTTATTCTTATCTCTACTCTTCAATTCTTATCCTATCCCACTATATCTTTCCTACTATTTTCCATAAAAATATCATTTCCATTGCTGTGATCTTTCCTTCTTGTTTATCTTGTCAGTATATTGGAACTGCCACCGAGTTGTACACTTTCAATTTTATCTTTTTATCTATCTTTTTCTTCCCAAAAATTGTTCTATTTAGAATATGATATATGTTGTTTGTTTTCCTTATTCTTGCATTTATGTCTAAATCTATCCTAAATGATGATACTTCTTCTATCTTTTGTTCCTTAATATTGTATTTCTTTTGGATTATTTCTTCATTTTTTCAATTTCGTCTGTCCATATTTCAACCAACTTCCTTGCCTTTTTATGGTTCTCTGCTATCAGCACTATGTCGTCAACATATAGTAAATTATCTATTTTTACTGTTTGATATTTATTTGTTCTTGTATTTTTTATCACTCTGTCCAGTAATATTATAAATAACAAAGGGATACTTTCAATGATATTTCGGATTACATGTATGTTTTCGTTCGTTCGTTTGCTTGCTCTGTATGCTATAGATGTGTAAAGTTTTCACAACTTTCAAGTATCTATAAAGTCCTCAATAGCTATGCGACAGATGTCAGATTTATCACCCTATTATAGCCCTGAATCATATTTTAATGCATTCAATTAAACAACATGTATAACATGGAAAACGTATATTCAATAATACATAGGATTTGTGTACATGGACAATAATACATGTGCACAAGAGAACGAGACAGCAGGCGGCGCCGGCGCAGTTGACCGGCGAGCGTTAGATGTGATGCATTAGCAACTGTGTTATGGCGCAATTGAGTTGATACATTGCGCTAACTCACATAGGTGCGCCAGTAGCAGTGTGTGAGCAAATTTTACTGCGTTACACATGCTTAGTATGCGACTTGTTCATGTTGTCTTTGCTGCAACCCTTGTCTGTTTTCATCTTCATCATTACCTCTCCTAATTCTTCCATTGTTATCTCTTCAGTTGCACTATGTCAGTAGTGTCTTCCCTTATCTTATCTTCTCTTTCCTCCTCTATTGTTTTTGTCCGTTTTCCATCCTTGAACTTTTCTGCATAAAAATCGCATAAGTCCAGACTTTCTTTCAACTCTTCCTAACTTTTCTACTTCGCCTCCCTTACCATATTCTTAGCTACATCTCTGTTCGTTCTATAGTTTGCTCTATCCTCTTCCTTATTCGTTCTTATGTATTTCTTCCATGACTCTTTCTTCTTGATTGCCTGTCGGACCTCTTCATTCCACCAGTGTGTTCTCTTTGTTTGATTATTATTCTCCACCTATCCTCCAGTGTTAAATTCTCTGTTTATTCTAGTTTTTGAAATTCGTTATTTGTTTTTTCTTGGTATTTTAGTCTTTCTTCGTCCTGCCTTAGTTTATGGATTTTTATTTTCATTTAGGTTTTTATTTCTTCTCTTTTGATTTCTATATTATTAATAGTTGCCATGACTAGTCTGTGGTTGGTTCCCATTTCTGCTTCTGCTTCAGTCTTTACCATGTGGACTCTGTTTTGGAGATTCCAGGTGGCATTCCTTAGCATTCCCTTCTTCTGCCACAAACGTATATTTATCTTGCCTCCTCTTATTCCACATAGTGTTTCCAATCAATAAGTCATTTATTTGACAAAATTCCAACATTTTTTGCCCGTTTCTATACATCACTGCCTCTCCCTGATTCCCATATTCTTCTATACTACCTTCCCCTTCTGTATATCATTACCTATTCTCGCATTCCAGTCTCCCATTATAATTACTTCCTCTTCTTGTTCTCTGGATTTATGGATTTTTTCTTATTATCAAATGATATATTATTTAATTTATTTCTTATGAATAGATTTGGCCCAATTGAAGAAGATAAAGGAAAAAGTGCTTTATATACATTAGCAAACCCCACCGGTCAACCAAAAAAACAAAAATCTTATTTACAACGTTGGTTCCCCCATGAAAACTCATTAAATAAATTTGTTCCGATCGACGAGAGTCTAGCAGCATTAGCAGTGCGAGATGATGGTCGATTTGTAGCTGTTGGAACAATGTTTAGTGGATCAGTCCTGTTATACATAGCATTTAGCTTACAAGTAATAATTAATTTTCCGCAAAAATAATGATTTAATTTTCATTTTTCTTTAAAACAGAAAGTTCTTCATATCCCCGCCGCACATTCCATGTTTGTTACCGGTTTGGAATTCCTCCCGGTTGTTTCGGATCAACACACAATAACCAGCGTGTCTGACGCAGCCGTTGTCTCGATTTCGGTGGATAATCAGTTGTGTATACACAGTTTGCCTTATCGGTCTTCGATACCCACTTGGATAGCTATATCTGTGATAGTAGTGACATTATTCTTTACATTTTTGTTGTGTTCGTATTTGGGTATATGAGTTTATATTCGATTTGTTAAATTTATTAATAAATGTACGTAAAAGCACGTTCAAATCGTTTAAAAATAACTTCTTTCTTTATTTTGCCATTTGTTAATTTAGGTGTACAGTACTTATGGAATTAAAATAAATTTCGAATACGTTTTAAATTTTTATTTAAATCTATTTAATAATATAATGTTTTTTATGATGTTATACATCTATCAGCTGCATGTCCATGATCAACATCTTGTATAAGTGTTCCACCTTTTAAAATATCATTTACAACAGCCCTAGCTAAATAACCCGTCGATATCAACATTGGAACTTCAAACAATACAGAAATAGATTCTTTTAAATTATGATCCTAAAACAAAATTGATGAAATAAAAGATATTTATAATATTAATCTTTATTACCTTAACATACATATCAGCAGCGGCTTGAATTAATAGCCTTATATCCAAAGGTGCTTTAAACGTCAACTCGGGATTTCGATGTAAAATTGTGGAAACAGTCGAAAGTAATTCCACAACAAGTTGGCGATACTCAGGTTGTTGAATATAATTAAGCATCTGTTCAACCAATAAAGCAAAGCTGAGTTCAGACCGTGTCATTTGAGTTATTGTCGGATTTTGAGGAATAACGTTCCCCATAACGACTAATCCTTGGGGAGTTCTTTGGATTACATCCCAAACTCGGTTGTAAAAAGACCTCGGCACCCTACACAAACAACCCTCCAACTGTCTTCGTTGAAAAGGCGTCAATTTCTCGTTATCGGCCCATTCTTTCAAAGATAACACTTTATATATTAATTGTCTAACTTCATACGGAGTGTGACTTTCTAATTCTTTAGGAGATCCTTTCATTTTTAAATACAACTTCATCGCCTCTAAAACCCAACCAATCCTAATTTTTAAAATACCTTTAAAGAGTGAGGGATCGGTTGAAATCAATCTTCCACAATACAAAATAATTTCTTGCTGAAGAACTGCTTGGATTACATCGAACGGTTGGATTGTGTTATATAAAACTGATTGTATCTCGGTTGGAGTTAAGGGTTTATGAAGAACAGTTTCTTTTTGTCCAATAACTCCAACAGTGAGTTGTTTTCCATGTACTAATACGCAAGTTATGAAGGGACTTATCGAATCGACGCTGTGATGTAAAAGACTACTCGTGTAACGAACAGCGGCCCAATGCCGTTTCAAAGCCGCTTGCAAATATAACTTTTTTATGTGAGTTTGAACGGTTAAATCGTTAATTTTAAATTGCGCACCCTCCCTTTGTAAAAGAAATCCATAGAGTTGACATAAAATGTATAAATTTTCAGTTCTTTTAATAGCTTCTATGATATCGTTGGTTGGGCGATTTTTATAACTCTAAAATTACTCAAATTAAATCGGTTTTAATAAAAAAAAAATAATTTCGATACATTAACGTTTTCGAGAATTTCCTGGCAATCAATCACTTTCGGAATATCCGTTAAACTTTGATAACCTATGTAATCATGTTCGAGTTGTTTAAATTGAGTGAATTTTTGTTGGGGTAAATCTAAGACGGTCATAAAATCTAAATGTTCTATAAAAATAATTTAATTAACTTAATTAGTTTAAAAAAATTTAAATCTCACCAACACAAGAACTTGATATCAAATTTTGTAACCGTCCCAACCTCACTTTGATCCCATCGCAATAACCCTTTTTTAACATAGCCAATAAATCCAACATCTTCTTAAATTGAGGATCCCTCATGTGTTCTTCACGTATTAACAAACAAACTGTGGGTCTTCCCGATAATCTCCAATATTTTCCAACAAATTGAAGTTCGGTTTTAACATCGTCAATTAATAAAGCCATATCTCGGTACAAATAGAACTCGGAAACTTCAAAAATTAAAGGGTAGCATAAAACTGTGCTCCCGCAAACTCGATAAAGCTATAATTTTAGTCGAATTTATTGTTTTATATTGAAATTTTTTTAATCAATTACTTTGCTGGTTCCTAAACTGCCGATTGGTCTCGCTGGGCGACCTTTCAATTGCAATTTATGATTAACCCCCAAATTTTCGTAAACCTTAACAAGTTGTCTTGATGACCAAATTTGAACTGGTTCGACTTCGTGTGGAGTTTGAGTTTGAATACCGTAAGTAGCCATCATCGCTTGTAATCGCATCGATTCGGCTATAAGAACTATTTGTACCACTAAATCGGTTGCTGTGCCCTACAATAAATTCCAACTAAAAGCCCAATTTATTCCTACACATTACATTTATACAAAATGAAAGAGTAGAGAAGAAAATATTAAGACGAAACCCACTTATGTGTAATTATTAACATTTACAAATAAACAATTATCTTACCGACTAACATAATCAACAAAAGAAGATTACTGAAAAATTACTCATGCATTTCATGCATATAAATAGCACAAAACAAATCAAATACAAAAATAAACATTTGGAAGTAAACAAATGTGCTTAAAACTTACGTACTATAGATGGTTTTGCCTAAAAAAATTATTAGCATATATACAAAATCATAAAATAAAAAAAACTTTCCAAAAATATAATAACATTGCTTACTTGAAAAGCAGAGTATCTTCCCGCTCGTCTGGGGCGGTTATAAGACGGTAAATATCGTTTAATTAAATCTAATTCATTTATATGGAGTAAACCGCCGGTTAAAAGTTGGGATATAATAAACATAGCTTGATTCCAGAGGAAAAGCTCATTAAAATCGCTTGGGTTGCGTTCTGTGCTATGCGGATTTAATCGTTCTTGGTCTACATTTTCTTGCGGGACGTAATAATACATTGGTATGATTGGATCTAAATAAAAACAAGATTTATGTAGTTTTTTATATAGTCTAAATTTATACAATTTATACCTGAATGTTGATCAACGGCTATAGTAAGTTTTAAAAGCTCCTGATATTTTTTAATCTGATCGGGTAAATTCTTAAAAACCCCATCGATTATCATAAAAATGAAAAAAAGGGGCCATTCGCATTCGATGTGCTCAAAATTGGTGGTTTCTCCTTTACCATAATATCTTTTATTAGAGTCCTCAACAACCGTTTTATATCCATCTCTCACAAATCTTTTAAAACCATAATTTCCCTTTAATTCTTTAACAATATTATGTTTACATTCTTTATACAAAACGTCTTCATGCGTAGCAAACGCGGGGAATGAAATTGTTGGTAATAAAGCACTATCCACACTCTAAATAATAATTATTAAAAATTAATTTAAATTAATTAATTAAATCTACTTTTGATGAAGATTCCCTGGGACAAAGTGTCTCAAAAATACTTCTATTTCTATTATGAGCATCAATATCAACATAAACAACACTCCAAGAAGCTCCTTTTTCACCAAAAAGATTACAACCATTGATAGCCTCAAGCGCGGCTTTCGCCATTCCGATCGAACTTGCGTGAATTTCTGGGGTACCATCATTATATTTTGTCCCTCTTTCCCACATTCCAAAATCGGGGGTTCTATAAGCTCTCTCTACGTAATAAACCAAGTTTTGAACAAAAGCTACTTCATCCTAAACACATTAAATAATTTATATACAAAGTATCCCGCGTAAGCGGCAAAGTACATAGATGGCATTAAGACGCCTTTAAGATTCTTTGCATGATTATGATTAATTCTACTATATCTCAACAACTACAACAGATAGCTATATAGGGATATGTACTGAATGAATGATTTGTAGAGAATTAAATTCTCTATCTGATAAGCTAATTAAATATGAGGTGTACCATATCAAATTTTCAACTTTTTTACAATTTGAATGTAGTAAAACAATAGTTATATTTTTGAACATCCTGTATGAGATAGACCGTTGTAGCCAGTGGCGCTCTATTTAAAGATATCCAAGCAGTAATAGTTACAAATTTTAACTTTCTAGCTCAATCAGCTGCTAAGAAATTCTGATTTAAAGGACACAGTGTTAATTGTAAAAAAAGTTTCAAATTAAAATAACTCAAAAACTAAAAGTACTAGGTATCGACATATCTTATCAAAGTCTACATATTTTTGAGTGTAGAATCAGAACACGCAATAAAAACTATATCATTCCATTTAAAATAACATGTTTATTTCGGTATGTCGTTATGAAACACCTGTATCTATAAAAATATCTGTTTATAGTGTGGTAAATTTCCTATAACTTTTGTCTAAGGAAGCTCCTTATTGCCATTTATATATTCAAACCTTAATTTTATCAATATTTACTTGTGTATAAATGATTTGCAACCCAGAACTAATCATTTGAACTAAAAATAATAAATAAATTGATACTGCATCAATTTGTAAGTGGTTATATTGATTGTCTGGGTAAATAGGGTCTCCTCTGACTAAATGAAACTTAACATGTAACGAATGAGTATTACATTGGTTCTTTTTGAATAATTCAATTCTGGGGGATTGTCTTATCCAGCATTCTAATATACCCCGCATACATTTCACCGCTGATTGTCCCAATTCATAGGATTTACCACGATCATCATCAATACGCCTTTAAAAAGATCAAAAAAATTGATTTATGTTGATTTTGGAATCATTTTATTACCTATAAGCTTGATATAAACTCCATATAGCTGCTGCGCAATAAACACTTTCTCTAACACTCCCAATTTCTTTATCGGAAGATACAACAGGAAATAATCCAGTGATAGGACTTTGGTATCTTAATAACTGCCGTTTCACTTAAAATTGTAAAATTTAAGTGGGGATGTTTCTTTTGTAGATTATAACTCACCCATTCCATAATAAATATCCAATTGCCTTACGGTATCCTCATAATCAGCAATTTTTAAAAATTGTTCCACCCCAATCCGATCTTCTGCACTGTATCCTTCAGATAACCTATAAATGCAAATTTGAAACAAGAATTTAACAAAAAATATTGATATACCTTGTACTAGACTGCATTTTAAATTAAATAGACTGCATTTACAAGTATTTTTGTGTGTATTATCAATGTCATAAAGGTTAATGCAAGGTTAGAGGTTATGTTAGCTTAGGTTATGTCGTTCAAGGTTTGTAAAGTGTGTTGCATACACACCAGGTCTTATCATGATCTTATGATTTTTTTATTATTAATTAAATTTATTAGATACACAAAGAAATCAATAATAATATGTAAGAATGCATCACGTCGATTTAAATAATTATAATCCGTATACTCTGAGTTTTAATGTAAAATCTAAAAAATGTTTACTTTTGAGTTTCTCTACCTTGATTCTCCCCACTCTTTATGGGTTTAAATTTACCGGCATAACCGTCCAAAGACCGTTAATACCGCGCAAACCGAACAAAAACTCACCCCAAAAGGGAAGTTAAAACGTATTTCCTCTTTTATCGTATCTTATTTAATCGTTTGCATTCAAAGTGTCGTGAACCATGTCTTTTCCACGTGCCAAATTGCAACGGTTCAACGAAATTCCTAGTAAATCACGTTTAACTTTCGAATTTATTTGTATTTTAATCGTTTATTTTGTTAGCTTGTTCACCATCTCCAGCTGATTACAACCCCATCCAAAAGCAACGTGCGTGGTCCGTTCTTTCTGCATGTTCAGCAACAACAGACCGATTTTCAGACAATGCATCAGTTACATCTAATGGTTCTTCAGTGTTTCGAACGGTATGCAAACTATTATTAAGGTTCTTCAATCAATTCTTTTTATTTTATTTTGATAGCCAAATGTTGTTGAGAGAAAAAAGCCAATATCAATCAAAATGTCCACAAAACTTTTTAACACAACTGACAAAGAAATGTTGGAAGCAAAAATTGTGGAGTGTAGCAATAAAGATGCTTACATAAAAGATTTGGCTGAGCAAATTGAAGAACTAAAAGTACAAATCAGCGATTTACGCCAACAAGAAGATGAGATTGAGTTGGAAAAAACCAAATATGAAAGGAATTTAATGGATGTGAAAGGTAAACAAGAAGAGGAGTTGGAAAAATTAAAACATTCCCATACAGAAATATTAAATTCGTTAAGAATTAAGCTTAGGAAACGTTCGGAGGAGTTTACAAGTTTAAGAGATGAATACCGAAATATAAAACAGGAACAACAAACTACATTGGAGGGTTTATTAAAAGATTTAAATCAAATGGGCGAAGAGTTTAATGTAAAAGCAACAGAAATATATAATGCAGAAATTGTTTCAAGAGAAAATAAGATTAAACAAAAAGAAATTGAAATAGAAAAGATTACAGAAGACATGAAGATTTTAGAGAAAAATAATAACGAAGAAATTAAAAAAATTAAAGAACTACATGCAGCTGAAATTTCAAAAGTAGAAGAGGAAATGTTGCAAATTATAACATCAAGTGAAAAATTATTAGATCAATTAAAAAGTGGACACGAATTAGAACTTAAAGAAATCGAAAAAAAGCATACAACAGAAATTTTGAAGGTTAAAAGAGATCATTCGGATTTAATTAAATCATTAATGGATCAAAAAGTGGCTGATTTACAACAATTAGAGGAGGATTATCAATTAAAAAAAGATCAAATCGAAAAAGAAACCAAACAGCTCATTCAACAAACTGAAACTTTATGGAAAAATACATTAAAAGAGCAAGAAGAAAAATCTAACCTAACTTTTAAAAATCTCCAACAAAAAAGTGAATCAAAAATCATTGAAATTGAATTAGAAAAGAACAAATTAAAACAAGAATTAGCTGATGCAAAATACGAATTAAAGGAATTAAAAGAATTGTGTATAACTGAAGAAAAATTTAAATTATTACAAATCAATTATGAAAAAGAATTGGAGTTTTTAAAATCGAAACGAGTCGATTTAGAAATTCAAATAGAAGCGGTAGAAAATGAATTAGCTCAACTTGTTAACACCTCACGTTCTTATCAAGTTACTTTAGATAAAACACGGGAAACTGTTAAAGCAATTTCAAAGAGATTGTTGAATTCAGATAGAGATGTGGAACTCTTAAAGAAAGAATTGGAGAGTCGGGAACAAATTTGTTTGAATTTGGAGGATGAATGCAATCGTCGTCTGGATGAAATAGAAAATTTAAACAAAATTAACGCCGAATTAGAGGAGAAACAAGAAAGATTTATCGCTATTTCCAACAAAGAAATTGAGGCGATTAAAAAAGATTATGAGTGTAAAGTTAGGAGTTATAAGAATCTTATTGATGAGACTGAGCGAAACAACAAAGAGTTTCTTTCCCACAGAATTAAATGTTTACAAGAAAGTAAAGAGGCTTTTGATTTGCAACAAGTTTTAAATAATGAAGCTCAAAATGGTATTAAAACTGTAAATGAAAAAATAACCAATTTAGAACAAGTTAATATTAATTTAAAGGAAGAAAATGATGAATTAACCTGTGAGTTAAAAGAGAAAAAGGGCGCTGTAAAAGAGCTTTTAGTTGAAAATGAGTCATTAGATGCAAACCTTAACACAAAAATGAAAGAAAACGAAATATTAAAACAAGAATGTTTAACAAATATTAATGAGGATAGTGTCGAAGAATTAAAAAAACAACTTTTTGAGTTACAAGAAGTGTGTGATAATTTACAAAATTATTGCGAATATTATAAATCGAAAGTTGAGGAATACGAAAAAGAAATTCAAGACGCTAAAATTATTGAAAAAAATTATAATGACCAAACAAAAAAATACGAAGACTTACAAAAAAGATTTTATCAATTACAAGACGAACACAACAAACAAAAACAAAAAGTACATAAATATATTTTTATTAAACATTTTGATTCAAATTTAATTTTTTTTTAATTTTTAGATTGAAGAATACGACAATTTAATTGGACCATATAAAGAGCAATTAGAAGCTTTTGAAGATGAAAGAAAGCAGTTAATATCACAAAAAACGGACGCCGAAATGAAAGTGGCTGAAATAAGTACGAAATATGCCGAAATTTTGGGACATCAAAACACAAAGCAAAAGATCAACCACATGGTTGATTTAAAAACGAAAATTCAATGCTTGGAAAAAGTAAGTGACGTTTTACCGCCGTTTTTGTGTTATTGGCTGTATCTGTTTTGTTTCCTTCTTCTCAGGCGAATAAGGATATGGAGGCAAAGGTCCGCAAACAAGCGAAAACCATCGAACAGTTAAAAAGTGACCAAACTAAATATTCCAAAAACAAAGAAAATAATTTAAATTCTCCCTGCGATCGTTATTTAAGCCCATTACGTGATAGAAATTAATAAATTTTATTTTTATTCTTATATATTTATCATTTAATTTAACTCAGTATTTTTTTTTTTTTAATTTGTTTTGTGATGTTTTTGAGTATCCAATTTTAAATTGAAAAAATGAACAGATAATAGGATTTTATAAGACTGATGTAATCTAATGTATTGATTTCCATATTATTATTATCATACAATATTGTAATAAAATACTGACTTATACTAAGTACTATTTAAATAAAAAAAATTATTCAAATTAAAACAATTTTTGTGGTTTCTCAAAGTCAACAAGTTTAAAAATTCGCGATTTCTTAAAATATTGTTATCATATTTTTAGGATATATAAAGAAAACTATGTATTATATCGTGGTAAAATTAGATTTTGAAAATTTTATTTAAAACATTTTTAATTGCAATCATATGTTTAGATATTAAACATTTTTGAAAAAAATCTATTTCTAACTCAATCGCTTTGAATTTAAGACGATTTATAAAGAACAAAGTCACCTTTTTAATGGTGAAACTCGATTTTGAAAATTACTTTTAGATTTTGAGTTATAACTGTTTTAATTTAAACTCTATTTTGTAATTTATAAGTATTGTCAATTAATTACCAACCTTAAATAAATAAAATCACCAAGCAGAATCATAATTTATGATGAACTTTTCTACTTAATAACTTATAATTTGGATGTTTAAAACGACTTAAATTAAAATATATTTTCTAAAAAGAATATATGGCAAATTATTTTAAATATATGTATTTACATGATAAAATCTTAAAATACAGGAATGGGTGTGTTTAAAATTTAAATTAAATTTATCAGTACACAAGGTCGCTGACGTCAATAAAACCATTATACTTATCTAATAACTTAGAAAGTTGCAAGTATTTCATGTATTTTACCCGGAATTAAAATCGATTTCTTATTTAATGTCTTTAAGTTTCCAACACTGCAATAAACTCTTGTTTTGTTGTGTCAACAATAAGACAAACATATGTCACTTCCACTTATCATTTTTAATAATTCTCTTTTAAATTAACAACAATAAACGCTGGTGGTGTTCATTCTACGTGAACCGACCAGATGTGACGTACGTAGATTAGATTTCGTGAGTGTTACAACAATGACTCATAGCAAGGTTAAATCGTTGTTTACCGTAGTTGAGCGAAAAAAGTTACAGTCAGTGTAAAGTTTTAACAAAAACATGGGCTCAAGATACCAATATGGTATCCTAATCGAGAACACCGTCCTGGCGGACCTGAAAAATCCTGATTCAATCAATGGTAAGAAGACCGGACTGCTAGGGAAAATTGTAAAAATCGAAAGCATCTTAAAAAACAATTATACCGTTAGGTTGCTTAAAGAAAACGAAACGTGGGAGACTACGACGTATATTTGTCCCCACACTAGTTTGATTTACGTGGACGAGAAGTTATGGCCTTTTTTGGATGCTATTCCCTCACCTCAAGAAAGAGTTAAGTTAGCACAAAACAAAGTTCGCTGTGACAAATTAATGCAGATTACTAGGGATACTCTTGTGGGGTATTCTACAGAACACGATATTCATTTGGGAAAAGTTAAATTTATTGGGTTTGTTAAAGGATTAGGAAAATGTTTTGGAATTCAGTTACATGTAAGTTTTAAATTATAAGAATCAAATTTAGGTTATTAGGTCACTTTCACAAGTTAATCAGTAACCGTGAAGAGTTGTACTTATCAAATTTTATTCTTTTGTGTTAGACAAAGCTTCCTGGAAATAATTGCAATGGAATGTACGCCGGTATCCAATACTTTGTGTGCTTACCCGGCCACGGTAAATTCACAACAATCGAAAAATTAATGCCACAACATTACGAAAATGAAACATCCCCAGTAACCAAGCGCCCCTTAACGGAATACGAAGAAACCGTAGCGAGGAATTTATCCGGGTTCACCGACAGCACACGATCAAAAGAAACGAGAGGTATTTCAGCGAGAAATCCAAATTTTTTCCGCACATCACATTCCATGCAAAACCTAAGTGAAACAAACAACTTTACCATTAATTCAAACAAACAAAATTCATCAAGTATTACTCAAAACAACCAAACCACAACGATTAATTCGTACAACCAAAGTGTTAATTCAAATAACGAATTTGATCAGAATATGTTACTCCAACCGGATAAAACACATTTAATAGACGATAAAACTATGTCTCACATCTCATCTAATCATAAAACCAAATCAGAAATTGATTTGAAAGATGTGATTGCCGGGATTTGGTCTGAAACGACCGAACCGGTTCAACCGCATTATTACTCCGATTTAAAACAATTATGTAAACAGACCGGTGATGCTAAATCGACGTTGAGCGATAAATCTTACGGCTCGTACAATAATACGCTTTCGAAGACGTCGTCATCGGCGAGAAATAAAAGTTTGAACCCGCTTTCACATATTGTTAATGGGAGTAAAACGTTGCCTAAGAAAACTAAGTATAATTTGGATAGGGTTCAGAATAAAGATAATAAAAGTGTTTTTGTGTCAACGAAACATGTTGAAATTTTACCAAGTAAGTAATTTTCGTTTTTTTTTATTGATTAATTAGAAAATTAATTAAATAACTTCCTATTTCTTAATGTGTTTCCAGGAAATTTGAACCATTACCCAAAGTCCTTAAATGCACCATGTAAAACCTTACTTACTTTATAATTTGGTACAAATGAGTTAATTTTAATTTCGTTTAATTTTAACATCATTGTTGTTTATTAATCAAATATGAAAAGCTGTAACTCATCTGGAATATTATGGAAGTTATGAAAATGTGTGGTCAAGATGTAATGTTTTTTTGTAATTGCAAATTTTGGAAAGGGAAGGGGGTAATATGTATTAATAAAGGGCTTGAGAGACGCATGCCTTAACCCAAATGTTTCTAGTTCTAGATTTAATGTTATTTCTAGTGCTAATTCTATATACAGGTATAGTTCTATATATGGGGTACTAAACCATTTGAAAAACAAAAAAATATTTTATACAAAAGTTGTTTGATTCATGTATATTTTTTTTTACCTGTATATTTTATCATATTATGAATACAACTAAATTTGTGTATACAACCGTATATATTACTATTTCACAGCGTTCATAGTTCCTGAGATTTTCAATTATTCTTCCAAAATGTGCCTATTACAGGATCGTTTTGAAAACGATGTAAAAACGAAATTTTTTCCGATTTTGCCTTGAAACTACTTCAGACAATAGTCAAAGCCAGTAGGTAGATGATAGTATTCAAAAATATTAGATACACTATCGTTTAAAAATAGTTGAAAAACCTCAGTTACTTTTGTTGTTTTTCAAATGGCTTTTTTTTAAGTTTTTTAAATGGAACATCCTGTATATTGTATGCTGGTTGAATTGCTCATCAAGTTTCCTTTAATTAATGATAAGTATGTCATATGTCTAACTTTAATAGTTTTCCTGATATTTAGAATTTAAAGTAAAATGTGTAATATCCAATAATAATATCTAAAGATATTAGATACGCTATACAGCATGTATATTGTGTGCTGGTTGAATTGCCCATCAAGTTACCTTTAATTAATGATAAGTATGTCATATGTCTAACTTTAATAGTTTTCCTGATATTTAGAATTTAAAGTAAAATGTGTAATAAAATGTCATTATAGTACTTAAAAAGTGATAGAATGTAATATATTCTGTCCTTTTTTTTGGCACTTTTTTTTTTCTTGATTGTTCGTCTGTCATTTGTAAATCAGTAATATTATATTAAAATACAATTTAAAAAAGAACTTTAATAAATAAATAATCAAAACGTGATAAAAATACAATTAAATGGCAGAACAATAAATCCCTTTTTTTTTTTTATTTTAGTTACTAAATTATTTGAAGGAAATCCAGCAACAAACTATAAACAATTACTAAACGTTGCTCAACAAGTAGATATTAATTTAATTAAGTATAAAAGATCTTGAGGTATCTCTTAACATGTGTATCTTATTTTCTCTAAAGTCGTAAATTATATGGCAGAACAATTGCATATTTTATTACTTACATCTTTTTAAATCTTATAAAGTACCAAGTCGCATTAAAATCTGGTATATGGCATCAAAATTATTTTACATTATAAAATATTAATCAAATAATAAAAGGAAGAACAAAAAAAATTGATAAAAATAGACAGAATATAATATTAAGTACAATAACTCATATTTTATTACACATTATTCTTTAAATTCTAAATATCAGGAAAACTACTAAAGTTAGATATATGACATACTTATTATTAATTAAAGGTAACTTGATGGGCAATTCAACCCGCACACAATATACAGGCCGTTCCATTTAAAAAACTTATCAAAAAGCGATTTGAAAAACATCAAAAGTAACTAAGCTTTATGAACACGCTGTATAGCGTATCTAATATCTTTGGATACTATCATTTATCTACTGGCTTTGACTATTATCTGACATAGTTTCAAGGCAAAATTGGAAAAAAAATCGTTTTTAAAAAGATCCTGCAATGGACACAATTTGGAAAAACTCCCTGTTAATTTTGCCAACTTTACAACAATTTGGCAGGTATTATAGAAAAAAATGAACTATATGTCACAATGACGTTTGAGCTTTCGTTATTCAAAAAGAAAAGGTGCATAAAAAATGTTGTGGGTGTTTATTTGCCATTTATTTACCTAGAAAAGGTGTTTTATTCTATTTACTTACTTTGTAGCACCAACAGAAACCCTAAAAAATTTACATTGACAAGTATTATAAAAAAAACTATATGTCAAGTGATATATTATTAGGATCGTTGAGAAACCCCCTTTGTTACAAAGTCATGGCCAACTATGGTTTCCATTAGAAAAATTAAGTTTGTGTCATAACTCAAAAATTATTGCTTAAATAAGAAAAATAGTTAGACTGTTTTATTAAAGATATAATAACCTACAAATTTCTCCTTTACACATTTTTCCTAAAATTAATAATAACGGAGCCATAGGTATCGAACGATATAACAAAAAAAAACTGTTTATTCGAGATATCTAGTTAGCCATGAATTTCATGGAAAAAACAAAAAGTTTCTATCTCCGCTAGTTTTCAAGATCTCCATACTAAACATGGAAAAAACTCACTCTGTGTAATAATCATAACAATTAATCTTCTATATATAGAATGATTCCCAACATATACGTATAAACTTGAAAAATGATGAAAAAAATGGTAATAAAAGTTTTTTAGTTTCCCAGATATCCGATATAATCGGCGACATCTAGACAATGTGTTTTCTGGAAAATGGATAGGTCGAGGTGGTCCAATAGCTTGGCCACCATGATCGCCCAGCCTCAATCCTTCTATGTATTCTTGATTTGATAGCAAATATCACCGATATCTATGAAACAGAAAATCTTTTACAACGCCTTTTAGTAATCATTCGTCATAGTGGTATAAATCCTGAAGTTTAAGCATATAGGTTGAAAATCATCCTCTGTATAGTTTAACTCCAAATTTTTTGACGTATTTACAATTCATTGACGGGATATGTATTCATTTCTGCTTCTAATTTCTTTATTTTATCAGTTGCCAAAAAAGTGTTTGAATTAATTAAATTTTATTTAATTAATAATCTAATTATAATAAAACATTTTTTGCTTTAAATTTAATATTAGTTATTTTATTAGGTTTCACACAAACCTAAAGTTATACTTAGAACATTTTTGCTGCTACTGGTCAAGACTCTCATAGCTGACCAAAAATATCTCTCAGTATACGTGCGATGGTCGCAAGCTATCGAAGCGAACTTTTTCTCTCTAGCAACCTATTTTTAATCACTTCGTTATTAAGAATGTATGTTTTCGTGGTGTCGCGGAACTTTCTTGAAACGCGAATTTTGTAACCATACTTTCCGACCGATAACTAAAAATATCCACTTGAAAAATTCCTTTCGTTTTCCACGCAACATGAAACCCAAAAACAAAAATTTGAAATTAAAAATTAATAAAAAATCGAATAGTTACGACATGAACAATGAACCTATTTATTGTAATGTGCGCGATATGGATTTATTTAGAGTACCGTTGTTTGTCTTAGAATTAACCCAAAAAGAAGATAACACCACTTCGAGGCAAGTTCACCCGTCCACGTCAAACGTAAACAACATCCCGGTTTATTACGACCCCGAACCAGGAACAACAAACGATTTATCCGTCGGAAGTTTAGTTGAAGTTACTAACGATGTTTCCGAAGAACCACTTTACGGTGTTATTCGATGGATGGGAGTCGAAGGGAAAAGTAAATACGTCCTTGTCGGCGTTGAACTTGAAGAGGAACAATCGCATTTACCTTTAACATTAACCGATGGAGTTCATAATGGGTTAAGATTCTTCCAATGTGGGAATAATAGGGCTTTATTTGTACCTTTAAGTCAATGCCAAAAGGATTCGAGGTTTTCTGATGGCGCAACACCCAGCCTTGTTCATAGTGTTAGAGAAGAAAAAACTTTTGGGAAGGTAATCTAATTATTATTAAATATAGATAATATAATAAAATTATTTTATTTTTTAGGAATGCCCAATTGTTCAAGGATGTTTAGCCCCATTAATAATGCCTACAGAAGAAGATGTAGAAGCCGTTTGTGGTAAATTTCGTGGAATACAAGGACATCACAATTCTTGTTATTTAGATGCAACTCTTTTCGCGATGTTTACTTATACCAGTGTTTTTGATAGTTTACTTTATCGGCCCAAAGGTCCCAATGATATTTCGCATTATGAAGAAGTAAATTTATTTTTTTTTTTATTATGATTATATTATAATTTATTAATTTTTTTAGGTCCAAAGAGTATTAAGAGAAGAAATAGTAAACCCCTTAAGAAAAGATTTATTCGTTCGAGCCGATAGAGTGATGAATTTAAGAAAATTATTGGATCGATTGAGTTCAGTGTCGGGTTTAACGAATGAAGAAAAAGACCCAGAAGAGTTTTTAAATTCTCTATTGGCGCAAATTTTAAAAGCCGAACCGTTTTTGAAGTTAAATTCGGGACAAGAAGCTTATTACTACCAATTATTCGTCGAAAAAGACGACGAACTCGAATTACCCACTGTTCAGCAATTATTCGAACAGAGCTTTTTAACTAGTGATATAAAATTAAAAGAAGTCCCTTCTTGTTTGATCATCCAAATGCCGAGATTCGGCAAAAATTATAAAGTTTACCCAAGAATACTCCCATCACAATTATTAGACGTTACCGATATAATAGAGAATTCCCCGCGGCAATGTACAGTTTGTGGTTGTTTGGCCGTTTGGGAATGTCGACAATGTCTCGGGGAATGCGGAGTTGGTTTAGAAAGCACCGCATTTTGTAATCCGTGTTTAGAAACGGCTCACACTCATAATCGAAGATCTGGACACCACCCAAAACCTTTAAATGTTTGCCAGGATTTTAAGATAATGGCGGAACATTGCCCCCCACCCAGACTTTACATGGAATTATTCGCTGTAGTCTGTATTGAAACATCACATTACGTAGCGTTCGTTAAATGCGGGGTGGGTCACGAAGCACCTTGGTGCTTTTTCGACTCAATGGCAGATAGGAAAGGTGAAAGAAACGGTTATAACATTCCAGAAATGGTCCCATGCCCGGATATATCTAAATGGCTTTCAGACGAACAAACCTGTAGATTATTACACGAAAATAATCCCCACGATCGATTATTACCCGAACACGCGCGTAGATTATTATGCGATGCTTATATTTGTATGTATCAAAGCCCTGATGTTATGATGTACAGATAACTGGCGCGATCCAAATTAAGAAACGAATTATTTAAAAAAAAAATAATTAATTATCTAATTCATTAATAAAATAAAAGCCTTCACCCTAAGGTTAATAAGAAACTAATTGACTGACCGTTCGGAGATTACTATTTATTCACTGAGAGTATCGCTTTGTTATATAGTCTGTAGAAATGTATTAAGTGGTCGTTTCTTGCGTCTTATAACCTGTTATCATAATGAGGAGTTTTATTTGTACAATTAAAAAATAAATATTTGCACCTGAAAATATACTGAGTAATAAAAGTTTTAATTGCGAATTTTGCGTTTTAATAAGACATAATAACGGGGTCATACACACTTATTAAATTTAGAGAAAATTTTTACGTACAACGATATATGCAAGTTTGTGTATGAACACAAAGTAAACGAAATATTTTGATAAATTTTAGATTTTGCGCAATTTGAAGTGGAAAATAGCAAGTATTCAAACGAAATAATCACGGTTGGCCCACCTCGCAAGTATTCCGAGGTTTTGCCTCCACAATTTTGATCGTTATTAATATAATTTGGATAAGCTATCCGTTAATAACAGAAATTATAGGTGGAGTTGTTTAATAATCGAAGGTATATGTTTCTTGTGGTTATTCATTTTTAATGATTGTAGATTATAAAACAAATTTTGGAAAATTATTAATTGGTGTTGCACTTGCTATGGTGGCAATATTAGTTTTATCTCTTAACATTCAAATATGAAATCAACATCATTTAGAAAAATTAATAAATGTATACAATGATTTTGATCAATTTGGTATTCTGCAAAGAATTGGTGCTGTAGATAAATACGTAAATACCATAATAAAAATAATACGATACGCAGCACTTTTTGTAGCGTATTTTACTGCGTACTGCACTTTTTTTGAGGAGGGTTGTGCTTTTTATAAAAACACTAAACATTGTTTAGTAGTTAAGTATTATGTTCCTTTTCAAATGAACCAATGGGAAATAACATTAATAATGTTATTTCAAATATATACTATAAATGTTCTAGTGGATGTACCATTTGATTTACTGGTATTGTGTTGCTATTTAGGCGAATTATTGGTAGCACATACAGAAAATCTTAAGAAGATAATTGATAACATAAATTTAACAAGAAATAAAAAACGTAATTTTATTAAATTGCAACCTGTTGTCATGTATAATCAAAAGATTTTCAGGTATTTTAATTTCAAAGAGTATTTACAGAAGCTTTATGATGTGAAATGGTTTTAGGGTGTGTCAGTGTGTTATTGATTATTGTACCAGCTTTCTATTACCAGCAAAAGTATTTATTATAATTTTGTTAACTATTGCAACTACTAAATTTGTTCTGGTATGTCATGCTGTTGTAGAACGACTTACTAACGCGGTATGAACAATTCTTTAAACCTAACTAAAAACAATGTTTTTAATTTGTATATAATAGGTGTGCAGTGTGGCGGAAACCGTGTATAACATGAACTGGTACGATGCGGATGTATCAACACAAAAAGACGTTTTAATCTTAATTTGTTTGAATCAAAAGGCATTAAAAGTGGAATTGCCTTTTATTCGTGAATTATCACATGAAGCTGCAGCAATGGTATGAGTTATTTCGGTTAAGACAATTTAATAATAATAAAATTGGGGTTATGTTGCAGGAATTCAAAAAGGTTTATGTTTTTTACAACTGGATATTAAAAGTTACGAAGCAAAGAAACTTTTAAAATAATACACCTTTATATTAAGATTTTAATGTTTATACCACAATATTAAAAATAAAGTTTATTATAATAAAACTTGTGTTATACAATGTTTATTTACAATGACTCACATAAATCATCCTACACTAAGCGATAGCACAAAAAAAACAATGTTAAATAAATCAACAAAAACGAAAAATATTTATTAAACAGAATAATGTAGAAAATATACTTATTAATAATAAAACAAGGAAAAGGTTTTATTTATATTATGCCTTACGTCACTACATAAACAAAACAAGAAAAATAATACAAATTAAGAGAACTTTATTAAATTATTTATGTTTTGTAGGATTTCCCTTGGCCGATAAAACAGCTGTCAACCTTTTTGGTATCGAGTTGACCAAATTTTGGGTATTTGTCGAGGATATATTTGCCCATTCTTCTTTTAACGCTTTAATGAGCTCTGGTTTGGTTGCCTGGATGTTCAATTGGGTTTAGGTCCATTTTATTTGCGGACGATTATTCGTCCATCGCTTCCAAATATATTAAACTAATTTTCATCCACAAAAATAACTTTGTTCTAATAATCAATATCCTTTTCAATCATGGTTTTTGCAAACATTAACCGAAATTTACGATTTCTTGCGTTCATAAAGAATTTTTTTCGGGCACTTCTGATAACGCCGTGTATGGTTTCAGGATATACACATTTTCCTCCGTTATTTTCTAAATTAGCTGCAAGCTTAGGGGCACTTAAGTGAGGATTTTTTTAATAACACTTTTTTCAGCCTCATTTAAAATACTTGGCGCGCCACTTCTTGGTTTATTTGTAATCCTACCTTCATCTTTAAACCGCTTTATTATGTCATGTACTGCTGATCGACTGATCTTCACAATCTTAGAAATTTTCCGAATCGATTTTCCTATTCATGATGGCCAATAACCAACTTTCTTATTTGAATAGTCGCTTCTGTTCTTTTCTGTGCTATTGTTGTAAAAGATACAAATAATATTGTTGTTTTAACACAAATTTAGAATTTGAGATTAAAAATCAAATTTATAATTAGTGGTGCCTTCTGTGTATATGTAGTTAATTTAGTTAGAGTAGCAAATCACGTGTCTGATGATTTGTGTGTATAATTCCAGAGTCTATCCAATTTTATTTATTTTCAAAATGTATGTAAGTTTACAGAAAATTTTACTAAAGTATTGAAGGAAATGTCTCTAAGAATATACTAAATACACTAATTGTTACTGAATGTATAATGAGATCTGATTGGTTTAAATTTCAATTTTTCAACAAGGATTAAAAGGTTTAAAGAAAATCCAATGTACTACAACTATCAGGAAATGTATTTAAGAAATATTTACCTAATACATTTAAAATCTCCACATTACAAAAGGTTAAGATATGAATTAATTACAATCCTATTAAGAAAAACAAAGATTAATTTTAAATAAATAAAACTATAATACCTGGGATTACACATTTAATTTTAGGAGGAAAAAAATAAACTATATGATTATAAAACGTAAATAATTAACTCTATATAACTTTAAATTGAACAAACCTTTTGTACTTTTGATTCACCCAAAAGTTCTAATTCATTAATCTTCCTAATCAAACGATAACCTCCCTAATTAGTGACTAACAATAAGATATGAAAAGAGAACATTTTTCCTACACATAACTATTAAGTGATTCTTATACTAATTTATTATTTATTCATTTAATTCATTAATTAAATCCCATTTTGACTTTTAATCAAAATCGTCTTCGTCCATAGTGAAATCGCTTCCAATCCCCGAATCAACGGCGTAGATCGGGCTAAAAAAGAAAAACAAATCAAATAATTTCAATGATTAATCGGATTTAAATTATTAATTGATAACATTACAAATAAAATATTGATTTTAAACATATATTATTTTTTAAATTTATTTTTTTAGGTTACTGTCAAACATAGCTGTCAAATAAAACGTCAAAAATTTTATATAAAGGGTATATACATATATATACCCTTTGTTTATAGAGAATATGATATACTCTATAAACAATGATATACCAAATCCAACCTGTATTCTAGTGGTTCGGATCTTTGCTGAATAATTCCAAAATATCACCAACAGATGGCGCCACATGAGTTCAATTTTTTAGTATGAGATTTTCATTTCTACTTTTCTATGGTTTAATACTAAATCTTTTTATTATTTCGAAACTTACTTAATGGCTCTGCACGTGAAGAAAACGATCCGTTTGAGCTTTCGATTGTAGAAGAAATAATTAAAGCTCCAAAGACAGCCATCTTCTCCAAAAGGATCCGACCCCAAATCGGGATTGTAAGAATAAATATCACATTCGTTGAGGGCGATTTCGTCTTCTACGGCGGCCCATAATTGTTGTCTCATCGCTCGGAATTGTTCCCCAACGGTTGCACTTAAATTGGTGTCTATTGCATTCGTTACCCATTGTAATGATGGTTCTTTGCTGAATTCGTGACTCTGATATTAAATAAAAATTAGTTTAAAATTAATTTAATTAAGCTTAATTTAACCTCAATATTTTTATGTCAAGGTTGATGTGTAATTTGTTGATTTCTTTTTTTATTTAAAAGAGAAAGTTAAAATAAAATGAATGATTACCTTAGCATCCAAGAAATCATAATCTGGAAAAGCTGAGTTTAATGTAGCGATTAAGTAAAACAAAGTTTTCCTGCTAATAGTGTCACAAAGAGGTCCCTCTTCGTCTCCAGAGATGCTCCTGCTATATTGAGAATATCCAGGGGAAAGTTGTGGGGGTGATAGAGCTTGTAAATCGTTAGGATGGACTCCTTCGGAATTAAACCTTTTGTACATGGCTTTGTCACCGCCAGCCATTTTACAGGAATAACTCTCAATGCGACCAAATATCTTGCTGTCGCCTGTTTCAATGCTTAAAGCATTGTTTATAGCTTCAAAACGAGTACTTTCCAATAACTTCATGTTGATTGGGTTGATCCACAAAAAACAAATCTTAAAAATTAAAGTTTCTCAAATTTGCAAGATTGGGATAATCTGTTTATTTAAGCCAACAAAAATACGCTGCACATTGCACTGAAAAGTTTTTGAACATTGCCGTGGGGTGTATGAATATACCTTTTCTCTTTGAATGGATAAGACAATATAATGGGAGTAACGTGAATTTTACTGCTTTCTTACTTAACAAATGATTTGGGCACATTACAAAAAAAGTAAGTTTTTTTGACAAGAGTTTGCTGGTAATTTCTTTAACCGAGTATTTTTTCTTGTTCTGTTTTAAATCGGCTAAGTACTGTCCTTGATTGTAGTAGCAAAGGGCTTGACAAGTTTTGGGCGAGTCCACTACAGGAAGGTCACACACTAAATCACCTCTTTAACCTTTTGCTAGTGTTCAGAACTATCCATCTCACCAACCATGATCACCAAACTTATTAATCACACTTTTTCAAATCGAATTCGGGGAAAAACTCTTTAATTAAACCACTTTTTCACTTGAATTAAGACAGAGACTCAATTTGACAGTAGTGTATTTTGTACACAAATAGATTATGGATGTGGTACCAACCTAAAAAGTTTAAGCTCACTATAAATCAATCGATTTTCGTTTTAATTTATATAAATTTTACATTATTATTTTAAACCATAAATTTATAAACGATTTTTAATGATTGTATAGTGGATGTTTATTATTTAAAATTCGTTTTATTGACGTTGATTTTGTTGATTTTAAGTTGCCTATTCTGCGAAATAGGTCGCGGTTTTTCCTTTGTTTCACAATAGCGGTATTTTTGACCTGCGTCAGTTGTTTTGCACTCTGCTTGAGCGATAAAGATAAACTAATTGCGTTCGGCGAGAGTTCATTTACTCCACTGATCTGCCGCAAATATTTTTATTATCATTACTAAGATAGTTCGAAACTTTAAAATAGGTTCAACGTCATAAAATCGTACATGCTTTGTTGTTTTTTCTACTTTATATAGATTTCAATGATTAATCAGATTTAGATTATTAATTGATAACATTACAAATAAAATACTAATTATAAACATATTTTTTATATAAACAATTTATTTTTTTAGGATACTGTCAAATAGTTGTCAAACGAAATGTCAAAAATCTTCTAAGAAAATTCAAATTCTAAGGTTTGTGAACCTCAATGGCACTGCATATAAATAAAACGAAACTAATTGATTAACATTTTCAATGGGATAACATTTTAATGAAAATTAATGGAAAAGCTTCAAATAAAATAATGTTATAGTTCGCAACTTTAAAATAGGTTCAACGTCATAAAATCGTAAATGCTTTGTTGTATTTTCTACTTTCTATAGATTTCAATGATTAATCGGATTTAGATTATTAATTGATAACATTACAAATAAAATATTAATTATAAACATTTTTTAAACAAACATTTTATTTTTTTAGGTTACTGTCAAACAGTTGTCAACGAAACGTCAAAAATCTTCTAAGGTTTCTCTAACGACATTGCAAATAAATAAAACGAAACTTATTGATTAACATTTCAAATGGGAAAACATTTTCATGAAAATTAATGGGAAAGATTTAAATAAAATAATGTTAAAGTGTGAAATTTGAGGAAAATTCTGTGGAGTGGGGATGAAAAGTTTGTTTTTAATGTCAAATTTGACAGAATGCAATAAACTTAACCTCAACACTTTTGAATCTGTTTAATACATAAGTTATTATCCTTATTATTATACATAATCGTAACTAAACTAATGTAAAAATTTTATGATTTAAGAACTTTATGACTTTTTGTTTTTATAAATAAACAATACTCAGGTTTTCTATGTTAACTTAGCAAAATATCAGGAAGTAACATTTGATGCAACACAAACTCCACATACATATATCATTCAACTTTTAAGTTGAACCAGCATACACAATATGGAATACATCCTTGTATTGATACATACTGAGAGGAGATTTTAAACATATCCACTAGGGATCCACCGTAGAGTGTCTTAGAGTAATATAAGATAGCTTCTGGGAACACCTTTGGAGGACTTGTCACAAAGTGGGAAGTCTTACAGCAATGTTTAACTCAGTCACAAGCAACCTCTGCTTTATAAATCATGAGATCTGCAACTTTAAATACAATTAAGCTTGGTTTTGTGTTCTAAATGATATTTGATGGGAAATAGATTTCATCATTGACATGTTTATAATAAACCAACAAGGAAATAAACAAAGTTTTCAAAGATCAAAGAGGGGCATTTGAAATAATTATCGCGTTATCAGTAAAATAGTGGGTTACAAATGTACTCCTTGGCATTATAAATTATAAATAACACCAGCTGCAGCGACGCTTTGTTGAGTTGATCTACTTTTGAAGGCAAACAAACATCACTCTCTTTGCAATCCTTTAATATTTATCAAGTTGGTTGCTATTATCGACGAAACGATGACCCCTTTGAAGGTGAAAAAATCTTAAAATCAGAAACGATAGTATTTAAGAATGCGTTAAGGTTTTATTTGGTGGGATAATGAAGAAATTGTTTAATTTGGGTCTTTTAAAATAGAGAAAATCTTTTTTATCACCACATTATTTTCACCTCAGCACTCAAAAAACATCAATTTGAAGAGGCGGTCCGAGCTGAACTGCGGTACTATAATTAAACTCGAAGTCTCGAGCAAAGTTCCGAGAGCGCCGGCAGCAGCTACTCGAAAATTTTTAGTGCCTTTCAGTTAGTGCCTCGGTTGAAACCGTTAAACAAGCGCACCCAATTCCTAAAAAACTTATACAATAACTTAAAAAATATCTTTAATTGAAAGAGTATCAAAAAAAAATTCGCCCCTCGTTTGCGAGGTTCTAAGAAAACATGGTGATCGCGAACGGTTTATTACTATTTATAAGTTCAACCAAATATATCCTGTGAGTAATGGTAGACGAGCCACGTGTTCGCTTCGACAACGATTCAACGTAGTTTTGCACTTTCCAAAATGAATAGTTTAATAATATTTCCATTACGATTTTTTTTAATATAGTAAAACAATAATATGAATGAACTGGAACCAAACTTGGAAAAACAACAACAAAGTGCTGCTGCCGCGAAGAGGAACAGCGGTTTATTTTCGATTTTGAAATGGTTTAAAGGTTCAAATTCATCAAGGGAATCGGTGAATTCCGACTCTTCTTTGGGAGGCTCAACGTCGAGCTGTGATAGCGTCGATTCTACGAATAGCACAGGAACCGTTGCTTCTTTTTCCTTCGTACCACCGCACGCCTACAAAACGCAAATCGTGGAAAGGTGCGTTCAGCAGGAACCGGAAACCGATACATACAAAGCTAGAGTTAAACAAAGGGAAAAAGTTAAGGAAAGAGACAAGAATTTAACGCTAAGAAAAAAATATAATTTATTTTTTAATCGTGATACTTTATTAAAGCCAAGCAAAAACGACGAAGATAACAGCAAAAGTTTACCTTTGATGACCAAAAAAGAGATGAGTGAAGAGGAGAGGATTCATCGAAGAACTGCAAGTGAATCGTCGAAAATTAAAAAAGCTGGGGCATATTGTCACGTTAAAGGTAAACGAAAAGCCCCGGCCCCTCCAAGTTTATTGCAAACTCAAGATAATTCAGAAGAAGGCACAACTAGTTGGAGGAGAAAAAAAAGAGTTGCTCCAGCACCTCCAAAAGAATCTAAAAAAACTAAGGAAAAACAAGATGGAAAATACGAAACGATTCAATATGTTGATTCAGATGTGCTTTTTAACGATTCATTAAAGTTAGAACACGGAATTTTAAAACCAGCTAAAGACCAGACTACAACATCGAATGAAAAATTATCAACCTCACCGAATTCGAGTCACGTGGAAGCTCCAGTATCTCCTCGCCCGTGGTACAAACGAAACTCTGCGGTGCCAAGAAGAGAAAACGTTCCGGAGACTTCGAGGAACTCGACATCGTTGGATCTAAATATAGACGAATCCAGAATAGATAGGAAAAAGGACGACAAACGTAAGTCCGGACTCTCATTTTTAACTAACATCAGTGAATTGGATAGGGAGGCGACGGAAATCATGAAGAAGGAAAAGGAAGAGTCCTCAGTAAGTGAAATGCCGGCGTTCATGAGGCCCAAACAAGAAACGTCCACAAACAGCGTTGATAATAATAATACTTTAGTGTCGCCGAAACGGAAATCGGCCAAAGATCTAATAGCCAAATTTAATGCCATCACAAATGTAACTAAAGTGACTGTGAATCCGTTCCAAAAAAATAAAGATTATTTCGGGAAATCATCAAAGGACCAAAAGAAAAATGTTAGAAAAGGTGGAAACGATACGGTTTTGAATCCATTAATGAAATCGGAAAGTGCAAGTGCGATTAAATCGAATACTCCTAAAGCCGACAGAAAATCATGGAATTGTCCCAAATGTTCGATTCAAAACGAATATTGGAGAATAATTTGCCACGTTTGTTCGACGATTAAACCATACTTCGACGATTTAGCTTTACCATCATCATCCAAAAACTCACCAGAAAAAAACGTTGAAATCAAACCGGACGGAATTAACAAAAACTTTCTTCAAAGACCCAGCGAAATCATTACCGGTCAATTAGAAAGATCAAAAACGCAAATTGGATTTACAGCTTTATCACGTTATAATGAACAGAAAGATAGAAGGATTGAAAAATCTGTTTCTGTAGATGAAACTAAGAATAAAAATAAAGAAATCAAAAATAAAGAAATTAAAAATAAAGAAATCAAAAATAATGAAATTAAAAATGATGATGCTAAGGAGGGAGAGAATAAATTGGGTGATAATAAAAGAGAGGAACGTGAAAAACTTATTAAAATGTTGATTGAGATGAAAAATTCGCTGCCCAAAAGAAAATTAAATTCAAATAAGGATAATAAAAGGACGAGTATTATTGAGGAGGGGTTGGAAATGTTGGATAATGAAGCTAAAATGAAGGAAAAAGGTGTTCAGAAAGATATGCAAAAAGATATTGAGAAGGATTTGGGAAAGGATGTTGAAAAAGAGTTTCAAAAAGTTATTAAGAAAGATGTTCAAAAAGATATACAAAAAAATGTTCACATAGGAATGCAACAAGGAATTATAAAAGAAATGATTAAAGAAGAGAATATTGAAAAGGAAATAAATGAAAATAATCAATTGGAACAAACGGACGAGGAGAAAAAGGTAAAAGAAATCTTGTTTTCTAAAGATGTTGGGTTTAAAATTAAACAACCAGATAAAACAAACAAACCAACTTTTTCAAACTTTTTATTAAACGGTCAAATAAAAAATGCAAATCCAACCAAGAACGCAAAAGAAACTCCACAATTTGTCAATGGAAAATCTTTAAAGGAACAATTTCTTAAAGAAAATATATCAAACGAACAACCTGTTAAAGAGCAGCATCAAATGAACGAAATTTTGGAACCAAATAAAGCAGAATTAATCTTAGTAACTCAAGAAACAATTTATGAAAATATAAAAATGAAAAAAACTGAAGCTCCAAAACCATTAAAAGTGTCGAGTTCCGCTCAAACAAGTGCGGTTGTTCGAAAAGTTCTTCCAGAATCGGTGAGTGGAGCAATTAAAAAAGATGGAAGATTCGAATTAATGAAGGCAAAAGATTTTGCGGAGAAAACCGTAAATCTTCCCGACCACGTCTACGCTAATTTGGCCGCGAAAGATAACATGTCGCTCTTTGTAAATATGCCGAAAAAATTTGCCGAATTAAAAGATAACCTTTTAAAAACGGAAATTTCAAATACGGATACTTTGGAAATAAATCGTCTGTTGAGAAGGTTAGAGACGGCGATAGCTAAAGGGGAAATGACCGATGCGGCTATTTACGCGAGGGATTTGGCCCAATTAAAAGTTAATTGTTCGGTGATACGGCAAAAAGAGAATAAAGCTGAGGTTGGAAAAAGACTTGGAGAGTTTCTGTAAGTTAAAAAAATTTCTTTTTAATATTTGAGTAATTTTAATTTTTTTTAGGGTGAATATGTTTGTTGAAGATCGATTATCTCATAGGGGCCCGTTCCCTATCAAGGTAATCGCAGAACAAACCGTCGGAGAATTAAAAATCCAAGTTGAGAAGGAATTCGAAATTCCAACCGCCGTTCAACGATGGATTCTTGGAAAAGAATTAGCTACCCAAGATGGTAGCACTTTAAAAGACCATCATGTTACAACGGAGGGGTGCCCGATTTTTTTGTATTTAGTGGCCCCAACAAGAGGTAAATACAAATTCGTTATTTATAAATAAATATACGGGAAATATAATATAATTATATTTTTCAGATTCTAAAGTAATAGAAGAAAAGAAACTTCCAGAAGAGAAACCAATAAATAAAAAGGAAGATCCTCCCAATAAACAAACAACGGATTTAGTAAAACCACAAATAGTCGATTACAAAGTAAAACAACCACCCAAAAACTTGGAAAACATAAAAATCGACATTACAATAGAAGAAAAGCAAATTTCTAAACCTTTAAATACAGTTCCTACTCAAAACGAAGCTTCTCCTTCCGCGTCATCATCATCAATCCTAACGGAAAACACAAAACATTTAAAAACATTTTCTGATGATGATGACGACGATTATGACTGCAAAACTTTGAAGCCGTTAATAAAAGATTGGGAGTGTAGAATGTGCACGCTTTTAAATCCCATTACAAGTAATATTTGCGCGGTGTGCGCTTTTGTTAGGCCAACAATCGCGCCGAGAGGGGCTAAAAAGAAAGCACCACAACCTATGGAAAGAAAAAAACATAAAGAAGAAATTCCAGTTCAACATTACCAACAATTAGTTAATTTAGACAGTACGGATTTAGTGGAAAATACCGAAAAATTCGAATGTGTTATTTGCATGATAGAAATTGAGAAGGGCGAAGGGGTTACATTGAGAGAATGTTTACATCAATTTTGTAAATTATGTCTTGCACATACCATTAAATTTACTGAAGAGGCTGAGGTGAAATGTCCGTATCGAGACGATCAATATTCTTGTGATATAGCTTTACAAGATAGGGAAATAAAAGCTTTAGTTTCACCGGATATCTATGAACAATTTTTAGCACGTTCTGTTACTCAAGCTGAAAATAGAACCGAAAAATCTTTTCATTGCAAATCCCCCGATTGCAAAGGATGGTGTATCTTTGAAGATAATGTTAATGAATTTCGATGTCCAGTTTGTAAAAAAGTTAATTGTTTAACATGTCAAGTAAGTTGATTAATATGATTTCGAATTGAAGCTGGAACTAACAGTAGACCTAGCACAAATAAATGTTTCTAGGTCTAGTGTTAGTTTTAGTTCAATTAATACACCGGCCATAAAAGTTTTTGTACTTATAACAATTTTTTTATTAAAGGCTATTCATACTGGTTTAAATTGCAAACAATACCAAGAAAGAATGAACGATGCATCTGCAATTGATGAGGATGCAAAAAGAACTCGAGAAATGTTAGAAGAAATGGTAAATAAAGGAGAAGCATTAAATTGTCCTGCTTGCCAAGTGATACTAATGAAAAAATGGGGCTGTGATTGGGTTAGATGTTCGATGTGTAAAACAGAAATTTGCTGGGTAACAAAAGGACCCAGATGGGGACCCGCCGGAAAAGGCGATACCTCCGGAGGTTGTAAATGTGGTGTAAACGGAGTGAAATGTCATGCCCAATGTAATTATTGCCATTAAATTATTTATTAAACACGCCACATTGTACCAATTTTACCATTTAGATTAAGCATTTTTATAATACATAAGCTGATTCAAAGATTGTTTTACTAATATCACTCTTTTTTATACATAATGTGTTCAGCTAGAAGTTATTAATTTAAATAATGCATACATAATAAATCTAGTCTTTACTAGTCTTTGTACGTTTTTTTAATAGTGAATGAGGTTGGGATTGTAAAGTTTTTATTTAAATGATAATGAATTTTCTGTGTATTTGCGTGAAAGAACTACAATAAATAAAATATATATATGTACAAATTAGTTTTAATTTTATTGTAATTAAAATATAAATCTTTCTGTCAGTTAAAATTAGGGAAATTTGAAATTTCAACCTAATTCAATTTAACACCAAATTTATTTTAAAATCCTAAAAAAGAAATGAATAAAACGTAAGATAATATGAAAAATTACTTAATTTAAAAAGATTACAAATTAAATAAATCGATAAAACGAATTTTTAAAAAAATTTGAAATATCTAATTTGTCGTTGTATAAGTTGGCAACATTTTTGGCTCGCTTCCACTCTAATCTATTCCCGATTGTTTTGTTAGGTTATCTTTCTGTCAATTAATATCATTAACCGTTATAGTTATAATCATATAAAATTTATTATAGCGTAAATTTAACTAAGTATATAAACAATGGGTGAAGCTCTCACTAATAAACGAAAAAGTCGTCTAGCGGTTTTCGAACATCTTCCAACAGATTCAAAAAAGGTTAAACGTGATGGAAACTCGGCTCCTTCAACAGAATGTCGTATGATTATAAATGAAGAAGAACTACAGGTATTTAATTTTATAGTACAAAAATTTAAACATACTTATTCTAATTTTTCTAATTGATAGACTTTGATTAAACCTCGAAATAGAGGTGTTCGCTTGGTGGAAGAACCCCTACAACTATTGTGCAAGTGGACTGATTGCACAGATTCGTTTACAGATTATAGTAGTTATATGAAACATGTAAATAATCACGTTCTTTATTTGGAAGCAAGTGGTTCGAAAGTATTAAAATGTTTATGGGGAAAATGCGATATAACCATAGATAATATAATGGGTTTATTAAAACATGTCAGTTTTCATGCGTATCACAACAAATTAAAAAGTATTGGTGAAAATATGGTTGGTAGATTAAAACTACCTAAATGTTATAAATCCGAAGAATTTACTGTTCCCGGTGATTTACCTGATTTTAATTGCGATTGGGGGACTTGTGATAAATATTTCGTTTCTATTAATGATTTTCAATTTCATATTAAGTTGCATGTCAATGCTAATCCCAAGTATTGTAAGAAAGGTGAATCAATTGATTGTCAATGGAGAGGTAAAAAAGAAAGATTTAATTTAAATTTTATATATATTTTATATATACCTTTTTATTTAGATTGTAAACTTAAATTATCTTCTCAATATAAACTCTCAGATCATATGAGATCTCACACTAAAGAAAGAGTAGTTGCTTGTCCCACTTGTGGAACTATGTTTGCAACTAAAACAAAGTTTTGTGATCATCGAAAAAGACAATTACCGTTAGAGTGTAAGTAATAAAATATTAAAGGGTAAAAAAAAAGTTTATTAATTTTGTTTTAGTGCAAAGTTATCAATGTTCTCAGTGCTCAAAGCTTTTCTCAACCGAACGTTTATTAAGAGATCATATGCGGGCACATATAAACCATTACAAGTGTAATTTTTGTGATATGACTTGCCCAAAGCCTTCAAATTTAGCCAAACATATTAGGTTTCGTCACATGAATGAAAGGCCATTTAAATGTAATCTTTGTAAACACTCGTAAGTCCTTAATTTTTTTAAATACTCCCTCTGTTCAAAAATAAGTGTCAGATTTATTTCAAAATTAATTTATTGAAACTTAACTACAAATATCGTTTCTAAGAAACTTTTGATGGTCATTTAAGTATTTAAATTGAATTGATGATGTCTTTTATATATTGATAAAGCCCAAAATCAAAATTTATAAAAACTGGAAGCCTACCCATTCTCTGTAAATGATCTTTATTCATATTGTACACCATGCTTTGTAATTATTGCCTCCTTCTACTTTCATGGTTTCTAATACATTGTTGGTGTGAAAATAAAATCTTATTCAAAGTACCCAACCTCAATTTGGAATAGGCTTTTTCAACAGCAAGAATTGATTAGTCTACCGTTTTGCAAGCCTATTGTTGGTGCAATGACTGAATTGCATTAAAACAGCCTAAATCTAAGACTTTTGTATCTTATTGGGTGGTTGATATAACATTTTGATTTTGAACCCAGTTCTATTTGAAGCTTCATTAAACTCATTGTCACTAGGAAGAATGTGTGGTTTAGTGTTGTCTTGTTGGATCCAAATTGTTTGGCGATCACCATTTTGCTTGAATTTTGGGCAACAATTTTCCAATAATTATGTTCTTATACTCTTCTCTAGTGACATTAGAAACCACTTTCGTTTTTGCTGCTCCGTTTAGCAGGTTCTAAAAACACAAAAGGCCAAATGCCAAGTTTTCCATCGAAATTCGTGTTTTCAGAATAATTCCAACGTGGACGAGTTACAGCGGCTAAGAACATTGCTTTTGTGAGAAAACGCTTACTTTTTCAACGATTTTCAGGCTTACAGTTTTTACTGAAATGTTAAATTTATTCGCTATCATTTTTATTGAAGCTTATGTGAGTTTGATATTCTTACTCAATTCCAATAACGCGTGATAAACGGCTTGTGTTGGGACTTAAGTTTGGTCTATTATGCCCGTTTCTTATCAAAATGTTTTCCCTCTCTTCCATTATTTTCTTAAACCGGATCTTTATGTGAGGTCTTGAAAAGTCACGTTTTTTGAAGATTTATACTGTAGGAAAAATTACAAAACTTTTTAATGGCAGTGAAAAACTTAACCTTTAATAAGTGTTCTACGTTTAAAAGCAAGGACCTTTTTCTTAATTTTTGAAAAAAATCTGTAGGACACTTATTTCTGGGACTGGAGTATTATTTATTAAATTTTTATTTGTATTAGATGTGTCTCAAAGGATCATTTAGAACAACACTTAACAACTCATTGTGGCGAAAAATTAATGGCTTGTGATGAATGCGATTTTCGTTGTCGATCACTTTATGGATTAGAAAGACATTATCAAAAAGAACATGGAAATGTACGTTTATGTAGCCAAAATTATCGCAATTATCTTTGTATAAATATTCATACATCACTAATATATCTTTTTTTTTAAGGGTTGGACACATTTTTATGAATGCCACTGTTGTTTAAAAAGATTTAGTCGTGGAAATCAATTAACAAAACATTTAATCAGCGTTCACGATTATCATTGGCCTTCAGGACACTCAAGATTTCGTTACAAAGAAGACACCGACGGAATTTTAAGATTACAAACTGTAAGGTATGAAAGTTTAGAGGTAACACAAGAGATGATTGAGTCGAACAATCAGAATTCGACTACCGATCCGAAAAGAGCATCGAAACATTACGTTTTGATGACTTCGGAAACTGGCGAGGAAAAAGTGGTTTGTTCCACTGATAACAATGTTGTAATAACAATAGCCGACGTTGACGCTAAAGGACACGTTGTCAAATCGGAAACGATGGAATCGAATGAGATGTGTGTTAAAAATGATGTTCGTTTGGTTAAAAAGGAAACAGTATAATTTCTTACAATTTTTTTATTGTATTAATATAACAGTTTAAGTCAAGAAACAAAATGTATTAATGCTTCTAAAGTAACAGTTCCACAAGTATTCCTTACTATCATATTGATTCATTCCTTACTTCATTTTCTAATATTTTTCCCCACGACGTTCTGTCCTAGATTGTGCTAGTCCACCAGGTTTGTTCCTTTTTTGTTCTTCATCTGGCGCATAAAGTGGCCGTACCTAATAGCAAACCTAAATCTAAATATGTTATCTAAATATATTTGGATTGGAAGTTAAAAAAGAAATTTTAAGTAAACTAATTTATTTACAAATTTTTATTGTGTATCACATACAATAAAAAGGTTTACATAAATACACAAATTGTTTTAAATACATGTACAAAAAAGTCGTCTTTAATAATAATAATAATAAAAGTTTTGAGCTTAAACATATTTAGTCTTATCGTATTGAAAACTTATTTTTCTTTAAAAGAAGAAAATTTGTAGATCACGAAAGAGTATTAATAGTTTGTAGAGTATTTATGAACTTAAAAAATTGAGTGAGTATTCTTTTCTGTTTGGCAGTGTTTTTTTTTGTCTTCTTTTTTTTAATTATTTAATTTGCCTATAATCTATTCGTTTGTTGTTTCCATTGGACGGTGTTTCTAGTTTGCATTGGCAAAGAAGTCCTACTTCCATAATGATCCTCTTCGAATGCTTTATTTACTTGTCCGTTTTCGAATATCTCTTTTGCCGGAATACTACTAGCTACGCTATTTCGATGATTTCTTGCATTATTATTACCAAATTCGTTTTTGGCTCCTAATGTTTGCATGTGAGATTTTCTTCGTTCTGCCATCACCGAGTTAATTCGTACCTCCAATGCTTTCATTGTTTCTCTTCTCATCGTTAATCTTCTACTTAAAATTGGAGTTCCTAAACATAAAAAAAATAATATAAGTACGAAGGCTTTCACATAATGATAAGTTATTTACCATCAGCTCCGTTTGCATTAAGTTTAGCAAAGCGTTTTTTAAACGCAACATCTAAAGTTCCGATTTGTCTTTTACGCTGTGCGGCTCGTTCTAAATTGTGTATAGTTTTTCTTCTTCCTATTCGATCTGGACCCGACCCCGAATCATTTTCGTAGTCACCATCGTCGATTCCTTGAAGTTTTTGTAGCTGTTTAACGATTTCCACTGCTTGCCGATCTAATAATGCATTTGGAGAAAGATCTTCTTTCTATAAATAAAATTAATTAGATTCTGACCCAAAAATTATGACAAAAATAATAATACCTTCTTTGTACAACTGAAGAAGTTTAATTCAGTGGAGGCAAGTATATGAGCTAAAGTACCGAAACGATGGAACAACATGGCAGTGAACTGAATGACCAGAATGAGGGCGAAGAAGAACACAAACACCAAACCGATCGGTTCCAATTGGAGGTAAGATTTCGTTATGTGAACCTAAAAGTTATTGGAGTTAGAAAAAGAAATTCACTGTAACATTAAAAACATTTATATATTTATGTACATTCTTTTCAATTCCGAAATTCTCTTAATCCTAGTTATTATGTTACTTATCAGCTTAGATTATTTTAATTTGCGCGATTTAAATTAAAAAATTTAACCTAAGCCGATAAGATCGCATAAAATTAAAGCCACCAACCAAGAACATCGTTATGTTAAAACATTTTGTTTATTACAAACACAAAACAGATTGGAAATGAAAGGTTTGGATCTTATCTTCGGAGAATCGGACTTCGTTTAGCCTGAAAGAAAATTTTGTATCGTGTTCAGTGGAATGATAAATGAAATGTATGAAAATGATTTCAAAATTAAGTTTTTTTATTACTTCAAAATGAAAAAAAAACGATAGTTTACAGATGTTCTAGAATTAATAATACATCAAGTAAATGTGTTTTTCGTTTGACAGAAATTGAATAGAGACAAAAATTGACTGGGCAGAAACAAAGGATACTGGAAAGAGAGTGGTAATAGAAGAAATAGGTTGAATTGAGACTGAAAAGGGAATAATGAGATTGGGCAAAAAGTATTCTAAAGGCAGGAAATATATTAGAGAAAAATGAGGTAGACTAGAAAGATACTGGTAATACAAGAAGGAAACTAAATAGAAACTTTAAAGAGAAAAAAGATACTGGACATAAAGAAGACAGAGGCTGAAAGAAAACTGGTTATAGAACAAAGAGTTAGAAGAGTATCGAGAAAGAAACTATGCTAAGACTGGAAAACTGGAAGATGAAGAAAGGTTGAAGACTGGAAAAGATTGGTAATAGAAGAAAGAGGCTGTAGAAAAGAACGAGACCTTTCAGAAGTCTGAAAGAGATTCTAAAGACAAGATTAGAACTAGTCATTGATGACAGAGACTAAAAGGTGATTGGTAATAGTACAAAGAGAGTGGGAAGAAATTAAAAAATTTTGCAGAAAGAAACGTAAGTTAAAAAACAAATTATAGAACATTCTGTTTTATTTTGCCAATTAATAATTTTGATACGAAATGGATTGATGAGGATGATGGAATTGGTATTGTTTTGTGTATTTTACCATTCATATTCCTTTACCTTTAATTAAATGCATTCATATTAAAACGTTGCATTATAATTAAAGTACCAAATACGAATGATTTTTTTTATTTTTTCCTATAAAATATAGTGTGAATTAGTAGGGCAATAACCGTGATGATAAAATCGTTGTAATACAATAAACCTAATGTGGTGTTACCTAAACCAATAAAGTGTGTATCCATGTAAGTATTATTTGAAAATAAGTGTGTGTGTAGAAAAAACGGGAAATTGTGTGAAGATTAATCACAGTGTGTAAAAATTGTGGTGTCAATGTGTAAATAAACACGTAGGGGGAGAATCAAGTCCCAATTCAGCCAAGATATAGGCGCATTAGTCCCAGAAAATGCCGCTTTCCGAAGAAAATTCACTCCTGTAAATACCTCGGCTGTTTCTTCTATATACGTAACATTTGTACGTATCCCAAGCGGCCACTTAACATGGATTTGATCCTTATTAAGCTGCAGCAGAAACACTACCAAGACAAACAGAGCATTGAACATGAAGAATGCAAAAACAGACTTGTTTCGCAGTTCAATCAACTCCCGAGCTATTTTCGCCTGTAAATATTATAATTCGTTTAAAACTATTCTAAAAGGGCCTCTTAATTCCTTGTTACTGCTCTATAAAAACTTAGTTATTTATGTTTTTGTTGTAACAAAAAAATAAGCTCGCCCTATAAAATTACCTCTTGAGTAACATCGTCATAAGTTATGTTTGTCCTAACGCCAAATGGCCACTTTATGTGTAGGTTATCCTTCTTCAATGTGAGCAAGAATACAATCAAAACAAACAGTGCATTTACCATAAAGAAGGCAAAAACGGATTGGTCTCTAAGCTCCTTTAGATCGTTTGCTATACGAGCCTAAATTTGAGGGCAAATTTTGGTTAAAATTTAAGTTAAATAATATTAATTATTGAATCTAAGAAACCTACACTTATTTTAATTTCATTATAACACAGTTGATTTTTCTTAATAAGGACGATTTAAATTTTATTTAAAAAAAATTAAGTAAAATCAACCGTTTCTAAACTTTCTACCTTCTCATCTTTATCTTCATCAATAGGATACAAATACTTTTCTAATAAATCTTTCCAAAATTGAATTTCATTAGAACTCAAGTACTCCACTTCTCCTTTTCTCAGATCTGGGTCCTCAATCCAATAAGGATTCACTAATTCATCGCGCTTAATTCTCGGTGCAGATGCGGTACTTTCTGAGTCACTATCACTTGAGCTATCATCTTTCTCGCCTTCTTCTGGTACAGCACCTAAGTGGTGATCATGGGATGATGCAGACATGCTTCGTTTTCTTGAGGTGTGGTGATGGTGATGATGGGGATCTAATACTCTAAAATAAATTTAATTAATAATCCCAAAAATTAATTCACTTTTAATTTACTTTTCAATATGATCCAATCTTTTACTTAACGTCTCCAAAGAATCCCCGATATGAATCAATTGAGCCTTTTCATCCCCATTAGCTTGATGCGTACACAACATACACTTAAAAAGACCTGCTAATGATATTTCAATACTCCCAGCATCATCATCGCTAGTTCCTCCCCCTTGAAGAAAACCAAGTAACGATTTTTGTTTGGCTTTTTTCTTCGCCTCCTCAGCTTGTTTCTTTTCTTCTTCTAATTCCTTCTTCGTTTTCTTCACAGGAACTTCGCGCGTACCCCAAGATACCACGTTAAGATTGATAATTGAGTACAAAATTAAAAGCAAGTACATAGAAGGGATCGACAAAAGATAAATAATTCCGTGAACGATGCATTTAAATTCTTGCGGGTGAAGACAAGCTGCTATAAAGAACGAGCCCGTCATAGCGATTAAAAATATGGCCGATGGAGATCCGATTCCATCCTCGCGTAATTGAAGGGCAGTACCAACTATAACCGCCATCATAATTAATGCGTAAGCTGTTGAAAGTATCTGGGCGCATATTAATTGAAGATTTGATTTGCAAACGAAACAAACCAACATGAAGAATAAAATAGGGATTATGTTGTAATAAAAGCTGGTCCAATTATCGATTTGGAAAGCTGCCACGAAGGCTCCCACCAACATAAGAAATATAGTTCCGGGTCCAAGGATGGTACCCCCCATAAGGAGGATTTGATACCCAATGTAAGGCATTGAAATGTTATCGTTGATCTCGATGGTTCGTTTTGAATCCATGAGTAAATCCATGATATTAGCTATAGTTGAAGGCACCCATCGTCTTCGTTGATTAAAAAATTCGTTAAAACCTTCCGGGGCGTGAGTGTAAGCATCCGAAGCAGCTGAATATTCAACTCGATATCCTCGTTGTAGTAATAAAGTGCATAACCAACGGTCTTCTCCTTGATCGTATTGGACGTAGTGGCGAGCTTCGGTGGCCTTAGTGGTATATTTTTTCATTACGTTATCGTCCATGAGAGCTTTTCCTCTAAAAAGTGAGAAACAACCTGGGCTACAAAGTACGCATCCAATCATGTGTTCGGTAGCTTTTTGAAGCCAATGCCCAATAGCATATTCGAATTCTTGGTACCAAACCATCGGACCTGAACCAACCGGGTGAATTCGCCCGCAAGCGGCACCCAAATTTTTATTCTTTTTCATCAAATCAATTAATAGGGTCACTGCGGATGGTTGGAAATCAATATCGCCGTCTAAAGTTAACAAATAAGTATTTTCTGCAATTACGGCTTTGCGATCAACTGATATTGGGAGTTCCATTAATTTATGACCTAGTAAATAGTACATGTACATAACTTGCGACCATCGTTTTCTGTGTCTTATTTTCATTTTGTCTTTTAAGTGAGCGATCATTTTGGTTTTTCCGGGTAAGGTCCAAATTAATCTGCCGCCGTAAGGTGTGGGTATTTTCTTTGGAGGTCTAATTCTAATATTTGTTTGATGTACTTCCGATGCAGCCTCATCGATTGTATCGCATAAAAGCTTAACGAAACGATTCACTTGGGTATCATCATCGTTTACATCTGAAATTTCAAAGGCGTCGTCGAAAAAGATTTGAGTTTCAAATTCGTAATAATCCGGATCTACGACTCTCAAATATTTTTGGGCCACCCTTCTCGCCGATTGATCTTCGTCCATCCGCAAGATTGATTTTAAAAATTCTATCATTTCCTCTTTGTTTTCGTGCCACATGGTGGTGCAAGCATAAATTCTTGTTATATGATCGGAATTTTTAATTGTTTTAGGTGTCGATCCGTCGGTGTGATTGGAGATGGTTTCGTAATATTCGTCTCCTTTCTCTTTTTGTAGCTCGTCCAAGTCTTCAGGTTTTACGTCGGCTTCGTCATCCCTTCTTCTATTCATCGCTAAACTTTGATCTATGAGGAATGAATCATACATGGGAATAACGAATAATTTTTCGGTTCTTGCTAAACGCTCGCATTTCGGGGTCCAAATGTGTAAGGTGACCCAGGTTTGTGATAATAACCAAAGTAACCACGCCCAAGCGTGTTGGTGCGAAATGAATCGATTTAGGAACTCTTCTGGGGGACTCTCGAAGAAAAGGTAAGATGGCATTGAGTCATAAAAGAAGCATGGGTCACCATTGCGTAAACCGCAAGCGGCTATTAAGAGAGATATTGATACAGGAATTGTTAAATTCACCGGAAACGCGTATGAAAATCCTTGGATCATAATTTTGCAGGCAAATTTTCCGAAGACATATGCGAAATAAGACCCGCAAACGTTAATGAGGAGTACAAAAATCGGGGTCATATCGTTGGAATCGATAAATGTATCATCACCAGTTGGGATTATATCAGAAATATCTGGAAGAGATGTTCCACCTAAGAATGGCTTAATTTCGGTGATTGTAATTTTATGACTGGCGAAACCTCCAGAAAATTCGTAAAATAAGAACCCTACTTCGCCTTCTTTGATTATGATAATAAAAATTATTGCTACAAAAAATAATAAGATTTTCCAGATGGACAAGAAAACGTAAGCGAAATATCTGGTGGAGTCAAATTCGTCTTTTAATTTACCCAATTTTTTTATGAATGGAATCGGCGAGTGTGGTGAAATATAATTTTCCCACCAACCGATCGAAATTAAAAAGATCGAAAATGGTAATAACCAAAGATCGGGTTTATTTTCTATGAGCGGCCACACCACAAAACCAGTTGCTTGTGCCGCTATTGCTATGAGATCCACTATAACTTTAATAAAACGCGTTGACTCTTTATTATTTCTCGAAAGAAGACCTGCAATAAAAACAAAATTACTTTATTACCTATTATAAATAAATTTTAAATTACCAAGAACGGCCGGAACGAAACAGACGCAATTCGTGAGCATTGCTCCCTTAACGACGTCCATTTCTGGTAGTATGTGGAAGACTAGTATCGCCAGACCAATGGTATGGGCGGACTCCGCGATGAAGAAGATGAGAAAGTGCGAGAAGAGTGGTTTCTTCCAAGATTTGAAGAAACACATCCTTGTCGACCTGAAGAGTGCCCCCAGTTGTGGTATGCAGAAGGCGAAAAACAGGCACCACATCCACACCACTCGTTCCGCCTCTGGTAGCTTGACTATAAACTGCTTATCTCGTCCTGAAATTTAAAGGTGTTGCTTTGTATTCATGGCGCTTTTGCGGATTTAAAGATCTTATTCTGCCTTTCAACAAATTCGAGAGATCCATCAACTCTAAGAATTCATCGTCCTAATCTTACTCATATTGTTAGTGAAAAAAAAAATTTAATTTTTATTACTTATTTCTAAAATTATTTATTTTTGTTTCATCGAAACCGCTTATCGGCGAATTTCATTATTATTAGGTTGGAATTTCATTAGAAGAGAATGTAAATAAAGAAAAGTGACCAATCAGTGAGCATGAAGCCTGGAGAGAAAAAGTACAAGCAGAATATGACGTAGCAAGGGAAGAGGGAGTCTGAAAAATATTATGAATCAATGGAAGAAACTTAACAGAAGCAAGAAAGCGAAAAAAGAGACAGGGCAGACTCTAGACAGAAACAAACTGGATAATGAAGAGGAAGTCTGGAAAGAGATTGTCAATGTTTGAAAAAGACTGAACTGAAACAGAAACTGAAGAAAGAGACTGGGCAGAGAGCAGACAGACTGGAGAGAGAGTGTATAGGCAAGAAAGACAGTAGAAAGAGAAGAATAGATTGGACAGAAACTTTAAATAGTAAAAAGTGACTATTTGGAGAGAAGATAGACTAAAAACGCTCTGTAAATGCAAGAAAAGAACTACACAAAGAAGAGAAAATCAGAAAGGAAGTTGTAATTGAAAAAAAAAACACAGTGTACAGAAACAATTAAGCGGAAGAAGAGACTTGACAGAAACAGAAAATAGATAAAGGAGATTGGAAAGACATACAAACCTGAGCAGAAATGTGGGTGATTAGAAAAAGACTGGTAGTGGAAGAGAGAGGTTGAACCGAGACTGAAATGAAAAGATAGCGACTGGTTAGAAATTGGAAACAGGCTTTAAAGAGAAGAATGTGACTATATCTTATCAGGATTTTGAACGCAATCAACAAACTAGCGATAAATCAACAAGGTGACGACACCTTGGAGGTGATGATACAGAGAAGGCCATTTTTAATAAACACTGATGATTATTATTGATACCCACGAAATGACTCCAGTTAGGTTGGGTTCCTGTTTATGTATACATATTGTATTACAAGTAAATATGCAAACATTGAAAGATTAATGGATTTAGAATAAAATGCAGGTCTTCTACTGATTTGTGTATGGCTTATAAATGTTCAATATCAAACTGATTGAACTTATCAAGTATGTGGGACGTATTTCATTGCGTCTCCCCCCATTTTTCTTGCATTCATTCATATAAATGATTGTTTTGTATTCATAGCGATTTATTTGTATTACGAGTTCAAGTGCATATATGTACCTTCTCAGAATATTGGTGAATTGGTCAAGTTTGAGGACGAAACGCACCGAGTTATTTGCACATGCCACACGGCTCGTGAGTGCTGTGTACACAAGCGAAGAAAATTTATTCTTGTTGAAGCGGAACGAAGATGTTAAGTTCTTGATGACGTAATGGTTGTTTTTAGGTGTGAGGTATTCTGAAGCGCCACTTACCTAATTCTTTGTTACAATATAATATCGTCTTTTCTGGTTTGAGTTGCGATGTCATAAATAATAAAGTTCCCTTGGCCACCACGGCCGATCCTAACACTATCACAAAGGTAACGATATAAGCTATGACTTTCGTGATTTTCACCGTAATTTCTAAGCATTTTTGGTTGGCCATAGAACCGGACTCTTCCTTGATTGGGGGATCCCTGAAGACGTCCCATCCTTTCGTTTCCGAAACGGTTCTTTGGCTGAAACAAAACGAGGGGTCATTAAAAATTTCGTAGTTGTTTCACGGACCGGAAATTAAAATTCAGGTGGTGTCTCACTCCAGGTTCAAACTCCGACCACGTTATGCAAACACGTGAATCTTGATCGCGAAAAATTCGGTGCATTTGGGGTGCACCGTGGGAATACCGAAATCTTTATTTATTAATAATTTAATTGAGTTTGGAAATAAAAATATTTTCAAGGTAAAAAATTTACAATGTTTTACATAGTATAACCTTGCATTCCATGCTTCTTTCTATAATCTAAAGTATTTCTCAACTAATACATAATTGATTTCTTTGATTTATAAAATGTTTCGTTTCAACAAGGCATAAAGAAAGCTTTAAATGCAACAAACCATCATTTAGGACAACGATACCTTTTCACTTTTTTCGTTGTAACAATATCACAGAGCGCTCTCCGAAGCAAATTACAAGGCTATTTGCTTGTCAAACCGGTAGGCCGGACAATCCTCAAGACAATTTACCGCACCTTGCGAGCACAATACAAAATTAAATGCTTAAACCCCGCAGCGTTTCTAGCACGGGATAACTTTTGATCTATCTTGAGAATTTTTTTGCGGGGACACTGAAGAGATTTCTCCGTGTGCGGTATTGGGTTTGTCACACCTCATCAAGTTCAGATTCCTCTTCCTCAAGAAGTCGATGACAACAGTGCGTTCAAGTCAACGTTGCGTGACGCTGTAACAATTGGTTCCGGGTGGTCTGTTATTACCGTACTTACCATTATACACTTTCACATGCAGTGTTATGGTTTCTTAGCTATGGTTGAGGAAATTAAATATAGCTACACAGAAATTTGAAATTTTTAAGAAAATAAAGACAAATTCATTCAAAAATGAATTGATAAAAACATTCAGTTAAAAATGTTGAAAGTGTGAAATTTACGACTCTCTTATTCTTCTACACATTTTATTTCCACAAGCGTTCAAAATAAAGAAAAACGAAGATGTTCCGATCCCGAGTACATACCCTCTTCGAGTACCAAGTACGTACACGTCGAGGACAGAGAGAAAAGAGACTAAAACGGACGAAAAGAGAGAAAAGTCAACGCGTGCTCGTGTATTTTCACGAGTACAGGTGGAATAGTGCGGTCGGACACCCTGAAGATGGGAGTTTCAAAGGACCAGCCGCCATTAATCTCGCTGAATATGGCCGCGCAATATTTCACTATTCTCCGCATATTTACCCGTGCATATGTCTCTGTCGAGATATTTGCCGAGATAGTCGTGAAGATTAGGAGACGCACCGCGACTATTTCTGCAGAAAATAAAGATATTCTTTTGCATCGGACCTTGACGTACACCGGAGAGTACCTTGAAAGTTGCATTATTCTCAACTTGGTCAGTAAATCTTTGAAGCTGGAATTATTCGATATGGTGGTCTAAACCTAGACAGCGCGAATATATCAGTTTAACAAGGGATTATTAGTATTTTTGTACGTTCAAGAATTTCTTGGGAAATATTCATATCATTTAGATAAATATTAAGAAATAAAAGTTATCTACATCTATACAACCTTAAAAGTGAAAGCGTGACCTTCGTTCTTAGCAAGAAAGTGTGTACTAATTTTTGAATTATTATGAGTAATTGAAAAGAATTGTTAACTTGTGGGTGTGTATTTTTTTGCAACCAATAAAAATTCTTTTTGTGAAGTGAATGTTGTAGGACTATATTAAAGAATAAAAAACTGATGTGGTTAACCTTCACATTTTAAATAATATACTTTAAAATCACGTTTTAAATATATCTTGTCATTTTAATACCTTCTCAATTAGTTTATTTTGATTTTCGATTTAATATACTTAAGACTTGCAATGTAGTTCTGTGGGTTTGAGAGTCACTGGAACGAACCGCGAGAAGATTGTTCGATATGCCTAGAGAAAGGCTGTTGTCCTATCAAGGGCGAAGTCGGCTAATATCAAGGTTAGCAGCGTCCACTCCCAGTCAAAGGTCGCGCCGAGCAAGGAACGCTATCCGGATTTGCCGGATTAGTCATAAAAAAAGCGGATTCAGCGCCTCCGCAACACCACCCAACGGACAAAGACCGCAACCAGGGACGGTCTTCGACCACCTCTTTGAGAGGTCGTGCTAATATTAGCTCCACGAACTCTGAACCTTCCCTAACGGTGTATTGTTTTCTCCTTCCATTACTGACCAATCCCAACATAACATTTTAAAACTCCCAATTTTAAAGTTTGCTTGTTTAACAAATTTCAAAATCAGGAAGTCAATTTAAAACTTGTAACCACTGTTACTACATTCCTGAGATTACGATATAACTGGCAGTGAAAGTGTTGTAAAACGCTTCGGTTTATATCTCGTTTTACCTTAGAAGAATGCGATAATAGCAAAATAAGGATGGATTAGTGAAAGCCCATAATGTCTGTGGTAAACCATAACAAAATGATTTTCATTCAATCCTTTACAAATTTCATAATAATCTTGTACATTTGACATTATTCCAAAATTAATTATTAATTTTTAGGAATACGCTAATGGAAGACACAAAGCTTACGAACAATTACGTCGCGATGTGTTAAAATTAGCTGTTAGTTTGTTATTAAAAGGAGAACGGTTACGGGACGGCCTGACGATAATTACGCAAGGTCGTTCGTAGATCCAGTTTAATAACTTTAAAAGTGAACGGTCAACTTTCTACTCCCTCGATGCATTGTGACCGTGTTGAAACGTTTCGTCTCATTTTGAATACGTTTTCTTTTTCGATTTTGAAGTAAAATTCTTTATGCTTGAATCATCCTTACTCATATCAATAACTTATAGATATTGCCAATTAATTGGGATATCACCATAAAATAAAATTCATTTTGTTACAAATTTATGAGTTGTGGTTTAGAAAACTTTAGGGAAACCTTCTTTCCATAATGATGTCGTGGGTTTTAGTGATGTTTCTTAGCACTTCTCAAGTGCATACCACACGTAATCACGACCGCATAAGGTTTGAACTCGTATCCTATTCTGTTCTGTAATGGTGAAATGGGACATTAGCGAGACATTTTAAGAAGAAAAAGATAATGGTAAAATTATACAGCAAGAGATTGCTTTGACCATTTATCTCAACCCACACATAACTTTTAGCTTTAAGTTCTAAACTTGAAATTTTAAATTTTCGCCAAATTTTTGCTACTGAATTGAAATCTTAAAATTAAAATCTTTTTTGTTCGACCTCGTACTGTTGAGTGTTTAATTTGACCTGGACATGCTTTGTCTTAAACTTTTATCTTGTATCCGCTTTACGGCTCGGTCTCCTTGGCATTTGGCTCAGCAGATCGACGTCTTTGGCATATGACACATTCCCAAATATCGTAAAAAGAGTAATGTATCATCGTTATTATCCTTTTCATTATATTTCGCGCGAACTCGGGTTTAATTATTTTTAATGGAAACGGGTGGGTCAATAATCGTTTTAAGAAGTTAGCGTGGCGATTTATTTCCTTGAGACAACGCCTAAACGATTAACATACCATTTATAGTTGCGGTGTCCAACTGTTTTAAGGTAGCTGCTGTATGTTTTATTACCTGAGAGTATGTTAAAAAGTCGCTTTCAATTTACGACTGGTGATAACGAATTGGATGCTTTAAAATGTTTGTGAAATATTTTTTATTGGGTCAACATCCTGTTTGAGTTGATTCAAATCTTTAATGGATTTTAACTGTTAAATTTTTACTTCCGGCTTTATTTTTTCTGATTTCCTTCTGTCGCGTCCTTGGAAAAGTGTTACAAACATTTCTTATTGTTAGTCACACTCCTTTCTCGATCGTTGAGTAAACGACAGCAATTTCTTACGAAATTTTATATTGTCATACATTGCTGAGCAATTAAAGAAAATATAAAATAAAAGATTTTTTTTAAATATTAAGTCAAACAACACACTTTATTTATTAATGTTAAAACAAATCAAAACTATGTAACCTTCTATATAAAAAAGAATAACAATTAACGTATTTTCATTGGCACTAAACCCGACGAATAACTATTAAGGTCAGAAGTATAGCTTTTCAAGAGAGAGATACGGTGCACGAACAGTATTTCGTAACTTTCATCCTTCGCACTAAAACCCACTATTGTTCAACAGAATCTCGATATTATTTGCATTTTAAAATTTTCAAAAGACAATGCTCGGGGTTGGGTATGCCATTATCGCGTTTTCAGAAATCGCTACAAATAACACTCACTTATAGGTAGATGTAGTAACTACCTATGTGATTTGCGGAACGTGAGCCGAGATAATTCTAGGTCTTGCAAAACATTGAATTTTACGCGGTGAAAGCTGTATCTCGTCGTATTTTACTTTAGATATAAACCGCACGATTAAACGATTATTGTTGCAAGTGTTGGAACGACTTCTTGACCCGGATTAAAGCTACAAAAAGTAATTAAAGTTTCACTTAATTAGTTTTTTGCTCAAATAACTGTGTTATTGGTGTAAAATGTGATTAGAGATTACACCGTGAAATTAATCTGTGATTTTGTTTTATTGTTATCTCTATCTAAAATTAGAAGTTCCAAATGTCTTATCCCAAAATCAAGATAGAGTCAGGGATAATTTTAGAGACATTAGGGACGATCTTGGGAAACAATTAGCACAGCTTAATCACCTAAAGCTGTACAATTAAGCTTCAGTTAGAACCACTTCCACCCAAACTCAGTCTCAAGAGCTGTAATTAATTCCATATCAATCCAAGCCTGGTTAACACATTTTGCATATAATGCCTCGGCTGCAAATCTCTAGATAGTCATCACCTGATTAAGCCGAGATCGCTTGCGGCCGAGGCAGTATCTGCAATATCAGCTAATTAACATTGGGGTTGGGCGACATCGACTTAATCACTTAAAACCAGACGATTGAGCGAATAAGCCGAGGCCAGAGCTTTGATCCAAACATGAATTTGTTTTGACATGTGTTTCCAAAAGAAACTTGTTTTGATTGCATGAATGGTGGAACATATTCCGGGATGAGATAACCTATGAATTTTGGCGAAAATTGATTGTGTGAACTGTTGTGCAATATAACTTCTTGGAGGTGATGAAGAGGTTTGACAAGGAGTTTTGTCTGTAGACGAAAAAAGTGATGTGACAATGGGTTTGTGATCTGTATATACTGTAAATTAATTTCCATGTAAGGAATGTTTGAAAAATTTGATGGCAGAGTAGATTGCTAATAGTTCTCTAGCAAAAGTTGAATATTTTGGTATTTGGTTGAAGTAAATTTTTTGAAAAAGGTTGAGATTTTCCATTGATGGTTTGTGTTAAAAGAGCTCCCATACTTGTGTTAGATGAATCAGTTGGCAATGATAGGGTAGCGTATGAAGAGGTATATCCTAGAAAGATAGATTTTGACAGAAGATCTTTGACAGAAGAAAAAGCATTGTCGTGTTGCAGTGTCCATGAACTTGATGAGATCGTTTTTTGTTTTGCACCGAAGATGTTGCAAAAATCAGGTATATTACAGAAAATACTACAAACAAAAAGTATAATTACCTTCCGCCGTAGATATCCTGTGTAAGTGGAACACTTTCATCGTCGGAAAAGTTATCGTCACTATCGTTCCGAATTCCAGGTGTTGCCATCGTTCCTGAAAATAAAACAAATTAAATAATTATTTAATTAGCTTGATAATAAATTATTTATGATAAAAGATTTCTCTCAAAATATTTTAGACGCACTTATCGGGATTGAATGGGAATTTAAAAATATGGAACAGTGGGGAAATCGAGGTCTCACAATAATATTCCCTGCCAAACAAAAAAGACGAAAAAACTGATTTCGACAGGCTTTCCTTAAGCGACCTAGTTTCCACTCAGAAATTTTATGTGAATTATATGCGCGTGAACAATAAAATACTAAATGTCGATCTCCTGCTGAAAAATAATAATAAAAACGCACGATCGCGTAAGATCTCTTGCTTCTCACGGTGCAAAGAAGTCTACTAATCCCATGTCTAACATTATTTGAAAGGACGCGGAGAAGTGAAAATTTTTATCGTTAAATGCGAGTGTGGTTAATGATTGTACAATTTTAATAAAGTAATTGTTTAGAATGGATGTATTATTTAAAGATTTGTTCTTTATGATTAATCACAGTCTTTCCATCTGTGTATGGAATTTATAAGTCATAAAATTTAATTGGCCCGTTCTATAGATGCTATTTATTGCAATTTGCTATCAAATGTGAGATTGTACAATTGGATATAAAGATTGTATTACCAATTTTTTTTTTTCTATACAACCCTTGCATTTGAAGAATTGTTTGATCAACAACCTCACATGTAATCGTAAATATTAAAAGGTTATAGAAATATATAATAATATACAAAATAAGAACATTGACATTTTATCCTACACATCAATTATATTTATTTTCAAGGTTTCTACGAGGTGTTTAATTTTCTCCGAAAATAAAGAGATTTTTTATCTTCCGGTGTTAAAACAAATGGATGGTCCATTGACCCATCGTGATCCACTAATAAAATCTTTTTCAACCTACCCACGCCCGAACTTAATTTTATTTGCTTTCGTTGGAAGCCGCCGTGCAAAATTTTATTTTTGTTTTGATTTCTCCAACGCATAGCTAAGTTTCTTACTGAACAAGTTGAAATTCTTTTTTTACGCAGCAGGTTCACCAATTCCTCGAAGCCGAATTTATCACACCTTATCATTTTCTTGTAATTGGTTCCTTTCAGGATTTGTCTCTTCGTCGATAACGAACATTTTTACGATATCCATCGATTTATTTATTTATTTTCGTCTTATTACATTAAGATGGAGAGTTGTTTTCTTAAATTTAACCAACATTAACGTTTCAATATCTGTTACAATCGTGAAGGCCATCACAAAGAATGTTTTATACGCAACGACAAACTTCCTTTGTGCAAATCCATAATAACTCATTTTAAAATATCCGAGTATTAAGAACGTAAAGTAACCTTTCTTAGCAACTCCATATAGCATTTGTACACGCGTTACAGAGAAAAGCCACACCCTTTCTGACAATGTCAGTTCGAGAAAACGACCAAGAATTTTTCTTATTTCTCCTCTTTTTGATACCGCGCAATCACCCACGCAGGTCATAATCTCTTTTTGTTCTTTGCGTTAACTAAACGACGGGCAAACCTATCGTTTTATGTTCGTTAACTTATGGAACGACGTCGATGGTCTGTTTATTCAACTGTGGGAGAGAAATATCGACCGAAGTATTGACGTTATGAAACAAAGTCGATAAAAAAGTTGTTACGGTAAATCGTAGTGTTGCTGCTATGAGAAAAACTCCCCTTCACTGGTCACCTTGGGTCGCGCCTATTCTTTGTTTAATATAGACCGCGATCTGTTACAAATTGTTTAGAAACAGATCTTTTTAACTCACAATAATTATTGTTTTATAAGTAATTAATTTTTGATTGGGGCCTTTACAATCAATATGTCTGTATTCATATCAAAATAAATTAATTAATGTCAGTTTTAATAACATCGGATATTGCAAAAGTCCAATTTAATCGTGTTACGAAATACGGTTAAATACGACTTGGTATTTTAGAACTAGTTTAGAGGAAGTTAATGTAATAAGTTGTCAATTAAAAATTTTACGGGAAATGTCAACTATCATTGACGGAAATGCGTTATAAATGATCGTTCAAGATATTGATCGCTAAGTGTAAGCAATTTTGTAACAATTTTTTTGCATGCTATTATATAAAATTGTCTTGAGGCAATGCGTATCGGTGCAATTGACTTGATAAATTGCTAAGTAGGTACGTAGTTGGTTTTGTAGAGCGTTAAGGATTGTGGTTTTCAACCCGAGCTTGTTCCGGTAAATAAAAACCCAGTTTTTCTACTGGAAACTACTGAAATTAAGTTTCTAGAAACTAATTTTCATATTTTTCTCAATGTTTATGTAATTGAGAGCAAAAATGAAAAGGAGTAATATTGTTAGGAATGAAATTTGTTAGGAATGAAATTTGGTACAAATTTTATGCTAAAAGTTTTTTTCTAAAATGTTCCAAATCCCGTGCGCTACCATCACATTGTTGATGATAAAACCACGACTTCACCCAGTTTTCACATTTTCGTGTTTTTCTCGATATTTATGCATCTGACAACAAAAGTGAAGAAGAGCAAAATTGTTAAGAATAAAATTTGCTACAACTTTTATACTAAAACTTTTTTCCCAAAATATTTCGATTCCCGTACGCTACCATCAATGAAATTAAAAACCTCAATTTCAGACACTTTTCACATTATCGTATTTTTCTCGATATTTATGCATCTGACAACAAAAGTGAAGAAGAGCAAAATTGTTAAGAATAAAATTTGCTACAACTTTTATACTAAAACTTTTTTCCCAAAATATTTCGATTCCCGTACGCTACCATCAATGAAATTAAAAACCTCAATTTCAGACACTTTTCACATTATCGTATTTTTCTCGATAGTGATGCATTTGAGAGCAAAATTAAAAAGGAGCAATATTGCTAACAATCAAATTTGCTACTACTTTTATACTAAAACTTTTTTCCTAACATGTTGCCAATCCTATGCTCTACCATCAATAAAGTATAACACCACAATTTAATTAACTTAAAACATAAAAATACGAAGATTTTATACTTGACTATTATTTATTTACTATTTTAATGGAATTCTCGAATCAAGTTCTCACATGGTATACAGGAATTGCTAATCTAAAGTCGTATAGTGTAACATGATAAGCTAAAAGCAACACCCACATTTACTGCTTTAATCTTGCTTTCAAGGGTTTACGTAAAACGGAAAAAAAAACTTGAAACCCTGTTAGACAATGCATCAATTGTGTGCGACAAAAGTCAGTTGCAGCTTTTGACAATGGGTGCGTGTTAATCGTAGATTTCGCTATGAATAATAAACCTTATGTGAATAAAAATGTGCGGCTGGGATTAAGGCAACGAAGATTCTTATAACAAAATGAAAAAAAAAGTATGTAAATGGGATGTTCAATTGAAATCGAATTAGTTTAAATGTAGCTTTTTTGTGTTGCGTGTCCCGTTTAAAAGAGACTAATTGCTACAATGTCGCAAGTCTTTGACATTGGCAATTAAATCTCCATTGTTTCGTTTAGTGCCATACACATTGAACGAGAGCTAATCTTTCTCTAATTGGTTTTTCAACCTTCATTGCCTCGTCCATGTTTAACTGGACGAAAATGATAATTACCATTTAATTTCTCGTCATTAAAAAAATTATTAATAAGTATTTAACTACATTGTCAACTTCAATTTTTGATATAAAAATCATTCGCATTTTGTAATCTATCTTTATTAAAAACACTTAGCGGTTTTAATCATCAAATACAAAATCATTTACTAATTAAACGTATTATTTTTAATTACCTAAAGATCTTAATCACATATAATTCTCTTTTTACAAGCATCAATTAACTTCTTTCCGTAACAACGTAAGTACCTATGACCTTTTCAACAAAACGTCACGTTATATATTTTAATAGATAATCACGGCGCACAACGTGTGTTATCCAACCTCGTGCACAACTTTTTTATCTCAATGAGCTTATTAAATGTCGCTGTCTGTTAAATCGATTTTTACTCTCTTTGTTTTATACCAAGATCGTAGATAATGAAAGTTCGAACATGATTGCGAAGCGTGGCCAGCAGTCATTATATTAGAAAGTAGAAGTTACATTAAGTTACATTAAGCGAAGTGGAGCGAATAGTTGGATAATAAGACGCGACTGGAACTTTGCCTAACTTTCTTATTAAGTGATGTTGATTATATGTATTTAATGAACCAGATAATGTCACGAATATACTTTCATTATTTAACAAAAAATGTTGTGATGATGTTATAAATTAATGATTATAATTCGAATTAAAGAGAAGGAGTTTGTGAGCAGTTGTTGATCTAAGAGAGGTCAAACTACTTTCACTTACTAAGACTTAGACTATTCGCTTCTTAATAAACTTATTTGCAGGTATGGGCGAGTCTGGGCGATGTTGTGTAATAGATTATGTAAATTTGGTCAATCACAAGTATCTACATTTGCCTCAAATATTAATTGATACATATTTATATTCTGTATTAATTAATTGGAAGTCATGTAATGAAAAATGAGATTGAAGTAGGGATGCGTTATTACTTGAGGTATACGTATAAAATTATCGGCGTAACGTCGTAAACATTGGATGATGCGAGATTTCTACTAAAAGTTCAAGGTATTCTTCGATGTGTTGAGTTGCGGAACGTTCGGTTTGGAAAGTGAAAATTTTGTGACTCGGCTCTAAGTTATTTATTTTTCAATTATTTTTGACAAAAATTTAATTTTAATATCGCAGAAACTTATATAACACTTATGTAGATGTTAATACGAATCGAAAATGTTATAAATTTTTATCTCGATTTTTTTTGTGTTGCGATTTCTGTTTTCTTCTCTTCTATATACCAAATACGAGCGTTGCAGCTGGTATACGGTGCGCCTTTTCTGACCTACTTTCACTCCACCAGATACAAATCGGCTTCGACTTCCGCTACGAGGTTCTTATTAGATTCATTTTTTTGATAATATGCACCAATGGCCCTGTATTTGAACACAGATTCTTAAAATTGGCCTTCTCATTGTTGTTGTTTTCAAAACAATCTCCTTTTTGGAAAGGTACAACATTTAGAAAGATAAAAATTTAACATAATTATTCTTCTTATTGCTCGGTTTCAGGACGAAAATTCGCGATTATGAGTTTTGGTGTCTCTCTACAGAATTTTATATTCTATAATTAATCTAAGAAGGTCATATCACTCCCCTCTTGTTATGTGTCAGATTTTTTTCTTAAAATTTTAGTTTTTGTTATCAACAGGTGACTTTTTTTAAAAATTTTCTAATAATTTCGTTTAAAAAAAATTTTCCTGTTATGTTGTCTTCATTTAGACATTCTAGGTCAATAGAGCACCGTTCCACAATCGTTGGGACTACTTCCATGGTTGTAACTATAAAGGTTAAACTGTTCTATGTGTTAATCCAAAGCAATAGACTCATCAGATATACCCAATTTCGTATCTAACAGCATTCCAGCAATCTCGGTGTTGCATAATAACGAAAAAAGTAGAACTACGAACGTAAGTAACCGCAAATCGCAAATAATCGTTTGTTTTAAGCTTGATTGACCCCAAAACATTTTCGATAAACCCACAATTTGTTTCGCCGCACTTCGTAATACTTAATTATTGAATTTATTTTGAAGTAATGACAGTAACAACGAAGACTTCAATATACAGTTCATCGGTTACGTGTTAAGTATGTGCGATGTAACGGGATTCGATGAGTAATGAAAGGAATAAACTGTATAAAGAGGAGTTGAACAGAACGTCTTGTATGTTAATTTTTTATGACGGATTTTGAAATTAAATAAAAACGATTGTGTATAGATGCGACTATTATAAAGCGGATGTTTTCTATTCACTTAATATGCATTCAAGACACATTGGGCGGTGGTTCTTTAGTACCTTTCACCAGTTAATGTTGGAACTATCGACGATAGATCGGAAGCTTAACCTTGGAATTCTTATTAGATACTTGGTATTTTATGTATTTTAAGTTTTGGGTTAAGCCAATAAAACTGACAAACAGCAATGTATTAATTTTGTTTGAATTTTTATATCTTTTATTCAACTAAAAATACAATTAATACTGGTCCTAGAATTAGAAACATTTGGGTTTAGTCATGCGTCTCTCGAGATGGCTAAACCCGAATGTTTCTAGTACTGGGTTGAGTGTTAGTTGATAGTGGTAGTGTCAGCTCAAGCCTTAGTGCTTGTGTTAGATCACTAGAACCAACACTAGACCTACAACTAGAATCGTTCGGGTTTAGCCGTCTTAAAAGACGTTCGGCTAAATCCGACCGATTCTAGTTCTAGGTCTAGTGTTAATTCTACCTTTAGTTCAATAAAAATATGCAACAACCTGGCGCAGAACAAAAACTATAACTTCAGGCGCAAAGCTAAACCCGAAACTTTCTAGTTCTAAGTCTAGTGTTAGTTCTAATGATAGTGCAAGTATTAATTCTAGTTTTAGTTCAATAAATATATAAACACACTAGACAAAGAACTAGAAACATTTGGGTTTAGCCGTCTTGAGAGACTTTTGGCTAAACCCGAATGTTTCTAGTTCTAGGTCTATTATCAATTCTAGAAGTTCTGGAAGTGTTAATTATAATTTTAATTCAATAAAAGATATAAAGTTTCAAGAAAATTAATACTTTTCTTTTGAACTAAAACTAAACCCATATATAATTTTAATGATGTGATTTTTTTAACTTAACACAATTTATTACCACATATTTCAGAAAACATTTTTTACAACATTGAATAAAACTTTCGTTTTACTGCGAATTTTTGTAACCGGTAATTTTAGTTCGTTTAACAGAATGACTTTTAGTGTTTTAACCAATCCGAAAAAGGTGGGTGCATGCGTCTCGTTATCTTCGGGTGGAATAACCCTCTTAATGACCTGTCACATAATAAGAATGCACATTAAGATCTCCTTCCATCTTTCATCAATGAAAGCTTTATTACGAGGGATTTTTAAGTACATTTAATTTTCTTTTTATACCCATCAAAGTATGCCCAATCTTCTCGCCACTTCAATATATCTCGAGATAATTGAGAGACGAATTTAAATAATTTAAATCTTTTTAATTCTTTTTGATAATTTTATTGCTTTTATTTAAAAGGTTACAACACTGCTTATTTAGTTATAATTTAACGTTACATCTTAGATGTCTAAAGCCATCAAGGATGATCTGCCACGAACATTTATAAACATAAGTTGCGCAAGGTTGAGAATAATAAATAATAGACCATGAGGGAGTGAAGATACTTATAAAGCTGTTAAATCGTGTTAACGAAGACGTGATCCAGTCTTATATTCGTTGTTGAAAAGTTTCATAACGTTCTTGCGATATCTATAGTATTGTATTATTATTGAACATGAGAATCTCGGCGACTTTCTTTCCAAGAGAGTCATATTTGAGTTTCTTTTGCGCGCTGTTACGCTAATAGAAATTTAATAGGACACATATGTCGCTTAACAAAAACTAAGAGAAAGCTTAAAATTAATTATTATTGACGACATTAATTCTGAATTAATAATGAATTTTGAATGAACTTACTTTTTTTTAAAAGGAACCCTTTTCACTAAATTATTAATAAATATCTACTTTAACCGAATATTTTTTGGTCACTTTCACGTGAAATTTTTGTATCGCATTTTCGACGGGGGGAAAAGTATATCGTGGGTTCGCACAAGAGCACGCGAAGTGAAGGGATCGCGCAACTGCTCGCTCCTTCTTAGGCAAGCTCCGGCTCTCAGGATGTTGAACGACGCTCGGTTCGAAACTGACACTTCTTGAAGAAATCGAGTTTCTATTTCCCAAACAACAAGAATGCGCATGCGTTTCTTGCGATGAAGAAGGTGTTCTTGAAGTTAAGACACCTTCGCGGCTTACCGGATTCGCTCCCCGGATCCACAATTTCTTTCCAGGTAAAGCTTTCAGCAATCTTAGGCAATCTGCAAAACGCACAAGCATCATCCGTGGACTACTTCTCTTTCTATATTATATTAAGTTTCTTTTATTATACTTTATTGGAGATGCAATAAGAATTTCAACATTTTGTCAAAACTTTGAGGATTATCTCAAAATCTTTGGAACAATTCCTTTTACAATACTTATTTTTAAAAATGGTTTATTTTTTACTTGAAATTTGAAAATGACCAAATTTTTATATTAATAAGCTAACCGCCATCACTTTAAGGAAAGATAATAATTATATTTTATTTACTTGAGAGATTTCTAGAAACGAAAGTTTCCTCTTTCCTAATCTGTACCTGATACTTCAATGTTAGAAATTATTTTAGCTATTTCTCAATAGATGGCTTATTCCATTATCTTGAATATTTAAACACTTCAATTAATATTATTACACTTTGCTTTCTAGTACAAATACTTGGAAATTTCTGATTTCTCTCTCTATAGAGAAAAAATCATCTCCAACTTCGTAGAGATGCTTGGAAATCTTTGAGAACTTTATACATGATGTATCAACATGTTACAATATTTCATTTAGTAACGGTGTTTGCCAAATCAACGAAATTTAGCACCACTTTCTATACATCATTGGAAAGCTAACAGATCAACGATTCTCACTTCATCATCCGCTTACTTCTAAAATATTAAGTTTCGGAAGAGTACCCCTTGAAAGTTGGGGTTATCACCGAATTTCTTTATAGAAGAAAAAATTAAATAATATTCAAAATATTGGACTTACTACATGTCTTAAATTGTGTAGAATGAGCTAACGATTCCAACGAGTACTCAGAATTTAATTTTGGCAATGGAATAAAAAAATTACACGTTTTTGAAAACTTATTTTAATAATAAATGTAATAAGTGTGAAAAGGTATTGAGATAGACACTAATTTTTTGTTGGAATTTTTATTTTGTATTTGATGTATAAAAAATCACAAGAATGGCAATATTAATTTAATTATTTCGTTTTAATCATAATAGTTCTTGTCATATTGCTTAATTAATTATAAAAATTACATAGTAAATAAATATCTACAATTTAACCAAAGGAAACCAAGAGGAAATTAATAAACTTTCATAAACCATTTAAATAACTTCAAATAACTACAATAACAAAGATTCTTAAAAACTACAAAGTATGACTAGATACGAAATGTTGAAAATTGGGATGACGCAAATTTAACAATTTGTTTGCACTGGTTGTTGATTTGAATAATATTCCTTCCTAAGGGATTTATTTAGCCTATGCCCTATGGTAATTCGTATCCACTCGGGTACCATTCCAACGAAGAAATACTAAAAAGAAATTATTAATATTAATAAAAATGATAAAATATATACAGTTCTTCTCCGTGTAATTAACTGAAAGTGAACGGTCCAGTTTTGTATTACAGCCGCTTAGTTGGCCGTTAAAAACCGTAAGGCTCTTTGTGACCTACTTCGCCGGATTAAAACGTTGACTCTAGGTACTTGAATTTACTTTTCACTTTTTTAGTGTTGCAACACTTTTAAATAATGTCCAATACGGTCAATACCGGTTTCATATCCATCATTTTAAAGGTTTTTCAATAAAATTAAAATACAAACCTGAATGCCGTGTGTCCAATAACCAGTGGTGTGATCCAATTTTCCAAGGGTTGAAACAGCGTATTTCGCGTAACTTTCTGCGTTTGGTACGAACCAACCCGTTGTTCTTAAACGTCTACTAAAATCGTTCATTTTCGTATTGACGAACATAGGTGAGACGTGTTGGATTGTAATGCCATGGTTGGAGTATTCTCTTTGTAATGCTCTTGTAAAATTTCGAATGTAAACCTAAAAATAATCTAAGAGAGTAAACAATAATACAATAATGGGAAACACGATTGTAATATTTATTTGTACATGATTATATATCAGCAAAAAAAAAGTGAAAATCTATTGTGATATAATCAAACATAATTTACTATAATTAATTGTTTCAAATTCTTTTCCTATCCTTTGTCTTTTTTATTAATAAGTAGGTTAGATCACCTAAGTCCATTACGAGACAATAATATCAAACACTTTCTTTTTACCTTAGAAGCTGCATAAAGTGTCATTAATGGAAGTGGTTGTAATTCGGCCCCAGACGACACGTTAACAATAGCACCTTTCTTCCGGGCTTTCATATCTTCAATTAACATTTTGGTCATCATGGTGACGGCGGCAACGTTTACATTAATGATGTCCCAAACGGTTTTTTCTGGGACTTCGCCGACATACATTGGAAAGGTGTACTGGCTGCCGACATTGTTTACTGAAAGTGGCACAAAGTGAAAGCGTTAATGAACTTGATGGAGAGTGAACTTGCAACCGAGCGATTTGTTATATCATAATTTAGATAATTGTTATATAACTTAACTACCAAGTCAATGAAACACGCTGTTTGAGATTTACGTTTTAGTATTAAAGGTGTGGAAAGGCGTTTATGTTAGAAAAGAAACGTTTGTGATGCAATACGTGTGTCGCGATTTCTATCGAGCCACTTGATTGATAAGCGGTGGGATTGAGCAAATAGAAAGTTCTGTTACTGGATTGAATTTACATGAATTAAACATTTTTGTAACAAGTCTTACCTAAAATCCCTATTTCTAAGTTACCAAGTTCAAGTCGAATTTTTTCGTAAATTGGGGCACCTTTACTAAAATCGGCGACAATCACTTTCGTTTTTACGTTGAAAGTCCGCACTGAAATAGTTTGATTTTAGTTAGTATTAGCATACAATCCGTTTGTTACCGATTTCCTGAGAAACGGTCGACAATTTTTCGGGAGATCGGCTCACTAAAACGATGTTCAATCCTCTGTTTGCCAACTGTTTTGCATATTCTTTACCAATACCATCTGTACATCCAGTAACAACTACAAGACAATATTTATTTTAGTTAAAGGTCAAATGGTTACATCATGTTCATAGAGTAATCATAATTATATAGATACAGTAAAAGCTATTTTTCGATTTAATTTTTTTTATTTATTTTTTTTAGCATCTTTATCCTTGGCGCTTGAATACAAAAGCAATGCAATTTATCTTCATGTTTTTATATTCGGTTTCACAATCGGTATTAAATTTAAGGTCACAAAAAAAAGCTCCGTTGAGTATTAGCTATAAGATTGTGTCTGTAAGAGTTGTTGTTTATGAGGTCTGACATCACCACATCCGTAGGTTATATTATTGGATACCAAGACGAACATATATACTCTTGGTTTAGTGTTAGTTCAAGTCTTAGTTCAATAAAAATATGAAACAACCTTGCACTGATTAACAACTAGAAGTAACACTAGGCGTAGAAACATTTTGTTTAGCCGTACCTCTCTTAAGATGGCTGGTAGGTGGTAGGTAGCGCTAGTTAGCATAAAATATTACTATGTTGCATATTTTTATTGAACTAAAACTAGAACTAACACTAAAACTAATACAAGATCTAGAACTAGAATCATTCGGGTTTAGCCGTCCTGAGAGACTTGAGGTTACATCCGATTATTTCTAGTTCTAGGTCTAATTTTAGTTCTAGTGACAGTTCAAGTGTAACACTAGAACTAACACTATACCTAGAACTAGAATCATTCGGGTTTAGAGGTCTTTAAAGACGTGCGGCTAAACCCGAATGTTTCTAGTTCTAGTTTTAGTTCTAGTTTTACACTAACACTATTACTAGAATTAACACAAGACCTAGAACTATGACCTTTCTAGCCATCGTATAATCATCCTTAAGTCGTTTTTAATGTTTGTTCACTAAAACATTACGTAATATTATGATACTAATTTAATTACTCAAAAAACCTAATTTTATAAAGTTTGAAATCAAATAAATTTACCACAAATGGCTTATTCGACCTCATTAACTTTAAGTAATGAGGAGTGTATCAAAGTTCAATCGGTTACGTTCACATTAAAATAAAAGAATCATTTCATCAAGAAACCACGATATCGACGACTCCCATAAAAAAAAACAATATTCTTCGTAGTTGGTAATCTCGTCGAGAATGCGTATTTCGCAAGAAATACATTCATCGAAGAAGCTCGAGTTAGAAAACTTGTACAACGGCAGATTGTTTCTATTTCGTGTTGCAACGTTTAATGTCAAGTGGTGTTTATCGTGGGTATATCTTGAATCTACCGTATAACCTCATAAAGCGAGGCAGGGAAATAAATAAAATGTTACTTAAGAGCGAATTTTATTAACTTTGTGGTAAACATTAATTAAAACGATTTGATGTGGTTAATATACTTGTTACTAAAATAATCGATTACATCTTTTTAACGTTTAAACAGTTAAAAACTTACGCGCCCATTGGCCATATTTCTTCACTAAATCGCTTTCGAAATCCGTCCGGAGATACGGAGATAATATGGCACGTAGTGATAAAGTAATATCCCATAATGGATCCAATATAATAAAGAGTAACGTGATAGCTCCGATAATAGCCAAAAGTAAGATGTAGAGGGCATCCATTCCACTAAAATCTAAAATTAATTAAAGAAAAATGTTCTTAATGTATCTTAATAAAATCTAACTTGATAAGATTACAATTAATCATATTTTTGCTTTTGGTGAATCGCAGTTGAATGAACAGCAACTCTGCACGCGAAGAATGGTGAACGCAAATCTCGGTTAACCTTGTATAAGTGGAACAGACCGTTACATAATCTATAAGAATAAATGCTATTGCAACTGTTAAAAAGTTTATTTGGCGAAATTTTAAAATTTATCTATTTTATGCAACGTTATCATTAAACGGATATAAATGTTGAATATAAATGAATCTGTATATCAATAAAGACGATGTTTAATTTAAACATTAAGATTTTCTACTGTCAATAAACCTTCTCTTAATTGATCAATTCATTTACAACGTTTCAACATTACATTCTCTTGAATAAATTATATTTCATAAAATTTACGAAACGCTTCATAATTAAATGATATCTGATTTTTTTAATTGATACTTTTATAATAAAACTTATGTTAATAAACTCAAATAAAATTTAATATGTACAACATTTCTAATACAAAGAAATTCCAAGTCGTTGTGAAATTGTGCCGAGCATCAATGTTAAGAAATTTCAAAATTACTTTGCGAAATAGAAGTTCGCTCTCGCGAATTGGTTTCACTTTGTACCATTTGGTGTTATTATCATTCTAAAACAAAATTTTGCGGTTAAACGTAAATTTACATCAAAATATTAAAACTAAAATTATTAGTACCCGCAATTATTTATGTGCGAATTGTATTATTGTGAAAGATACTCTCAATATGGTTCCGTTCACCAATTACTGCGTTGAAATCGTTTCGAATGTCCGTTACTTATTATTAGGGTTGTGGTTTAACTTTTATTTTAGAATGGGGAAATCTACACTTACTTTGCATATATTAGAGATTGATTGCAACATAAGTACTAAAATATTTGTATTAATAGAAAAAGTTTTGCAATAACTTGTTTAATTAGCTTCCTTTAATTAAATATATTTATGATGCATTAAAAATACAAAATTAAAGTTTTATTAATGATATTTGGCAATGCTAAAGTTTCACTATAATGTATTCTTTATAACAACTAGACGCCCTAAAATCTAGAATATATGAAAACCGCATTCTGAAACGTACCTTTCCAATGATGTTTAAAATAAAGCAAAGATTACTAAAAACTATTCAGAACATTTTTAACGATGTCCAAGGAGTAATAGTTAAAAGTTTGCTGGAATTTCAAAAAGTTGTTTTATTAATATCGAAAGATGTCTTGAAATCTCCAAAAGATTTTCAATAAAGTGAGAGTGTTTGTAGGGATCGTTGAAGGTTTCAAGCAATAACCATGTTTTCTAAGGATTTGCAACGATATCCAGAAACTTCTAAAGACATTCCGATGACATCTCATGATTTGTCAAAACCTTTGGAGGATTTGCAAAGATGTCAAAGGATTTTGATGAGGATTTCTAAGTTTTTATGGTTTTGAATCTTAAAAGATGTCTTAATTACTTCTATTGAGATTTCTAAGGGTATCCAGTCAATATCGAAAAATGTTTTAAAATTTTATAGATTTTTACTTTTCAAAATAATTTGTAAAGATTACTTACACTTATAATTATACTTAAATAATAATCCTTTTTAATATATGTTAAATAAATTATATTTGATTTAACTTACTGTTGTTATCTGTTGACAAACGTGCACAACCAACTATTTCCGAGCACTAACTGATAACAAAACGAACGCCGGTTCGTAAGCACTTCATGAGTAAGGAGAACTTGGTTTGGTTTTGCTAAATCTCCCGCTTCTTCAGGCGACGCCGTACCACCACCACAACTTTTTGTTGTCAAAAAGAGGACATGAACTCTATCCCGTTCATAGCAGTCCCCCTCGTGGTCTATTGGTCTGCACGTGTAAAGAAGAAACAACAACACTCCATACGATAGGCATCGACGAAATGCTGCTTCTTGATCGGCCTATAAACTCGATCTAAAATGCTAACTATAACAAGTGAAAGTGTTTTGTGTCGAAATGTGATCAGCGACCAAGCACAGCAATTATTTTTTCCTCTTTTTAGATTCTAGTTGACGCGCGTTGTGTATCGATTTTGTTCGGGTTCTTTTTAATATACAATTCAATACAAATATAATTTAAAAAATAGTATTGAGTCTAACTAAATTTTATTTCGATTTCCAGTCAACAGAATTATTAAGTTCTTATTCAAAGTGTGACATTGAAATTGAATTTATAATCATTTGAATATTTTGGACGATTATAATCTATAATTTATGTATGATGTGTAATTTAATTATAGAAAGGATAAAGCAAGGTTAAATTTTGTAGATTTTAAAAGTTAAAATTTTTATTTTACATAACATCCTCCTGACATTTTAATTAATGAGTTTTGTGTCAAAGGTTACCCACGATTTACACCTTCAACATACTTACTAATTAGTAAATTCAATTATATCCTTTTCGATTATGTAACATAGTTTCCCTCCTTCTTATTTTTATCGCAATCCTTTATATTTCCTCAACTTATTTTTACAGGAAATAAATTCATTTTGTATTAAAACTTAGTTGGTGTATGTAACTTATTTAATAGATGTGGTTATTGTGTTGTCTATACGAACGATTTAAAAGTCAAGTAATATTTTTTAATACTTGATACTTGCATGTAATTCGGGCGGGAAAACTTAACTAATTAGAGCAGAAATTCGAGCGATTAGGAGGGAGGCTAATTAATTATGAATTAGTGCGGGGCTGAGTATTTTCAGCAAAATCTGAGTGGAATGTCATCCGGTATGATATATGGAACAGGGATGAACTATACCCCATCGAAAGTGCCTTTATTGAAAATAAATGGGGCAGGATTTGTACTTAGTAAAGTGGAACTTAAATTGGAATAAGGTCTTAAACGATCGACTGAAAATATTTTGAAAGTTGCTTGTTATTTTAAGGTTTGATGTGTTAAATGTCTTCTTTTTAGTTACTCTGTACAAATAATAAATAAATTAAGTTTATTTCAGAAATATTCTTCCAAATACTTACTCAATTTCATCGTCTGGTGTTTTAACCATGAAATTCCATGATGCTTCCACGATTATTTAAATGAGACTGTTTACTGCTGGAAGAGGATTGTATACTGCTGGCAGAAGATTAGATATTGCGAGGAGAAAACTGGATATTGGTGCTAACTAGATGCTGCTAAAAGAAGACTAAATACTGTTTACAGAAGCATGATGTGCACACGACATGTAATAACAAGATCATGTTAGTATACAAAATTATTATTATTTTATAATCTATCAACGTCCCTGTAAGTAATATTTGTGGCAGAAGTCTAGATACTGCTTGCAGAAGATTAGATACTTCTGGTTGTAAACTCTTTACTGGTGGCAGAAGACTAAATGCTGTTAATGGATAACTAAATGCTGCTAATAGAAGACTAAATACTGCTTGCAAAAACCTATCTACTACTTGTAGAAGGTGTGACAGAAGACCAATTAATCAATGACCATAAGCTATAATTACATAAATGTAAATAAAAAGGTCGAAATTCATCGTTTTGATTTAGTGCGTAATATAAATACTTAGTTATTAAGTTGTTAGAGTTTAAATAAACTTGATGTGTATTAAAAAAATAAATTTTATCGTTTGTAATAAAATTTTTTGTTACACTTTGATAATATCTGACCCACAATTAAGACAAAGAGTGTGCCTGTACCACGCTAATGTTTGATATTAATACATTCTTTGCTGTCGTCGACACTATCACATGTTGAAAAATCGATGGTTGGCGACCCGCCTTTTCTTGATAATCCTTCGCCCCATAAATATCCGTAATGCGTTCGCATGGCCGCTGGCTGTGAATGAGATAGGGTCGTCCTAATATGACCCCGGATCGTTTTAACGGCGGCCCACTGTTTACCACATTTCGTCACATTCTCGTCGCCACTTCGTCTAACCACCCTTAAAGGTTTCAATAAGATAATGAAACTGCGATACGGATGCTCGTATTTCAGCCGTTACCACCACTCTCTAAGAAATCTGCAATGCTGAAGCTTTACTTCCACTTTACGTTTATAGGGACACGATTTTATTTGGACAGATTTGATTTGATGAATAAAATGAAAAAAGTGTAAGGTAAATTTCTCAAACCATTTTATTTCCAGAGTATAATGAATAAATACATTGTACAATCGAGCATTAAATCGTTACAATATGTCCGTAAAGAGTGATATAATAATATTGAGCCATGCGGTAAATCGTAATTGAAAGAAAGGCCACTATATACTATTATGGATAATCCCTTGTATAGAGGGACCTATTCTATCTCGCTACTCCGTGTGTAACGTATCACTAGCCAAATTATTGCTCGCTCATTGTAATATACCAACGATTTATTGTAACAAAAAGAAACCGAAGCTGCTTGTCAACCAACAATCCGCCTTTGAAAGGTTATATTGAGGCGCCTGGCGAAGGGAAAAGAAACTACAATCTAAAATAATCTTTTTAATGTTGTACTTTCGGCTGGCCAAGCTCTTTTTTACCGACGGTACGTATGCAGTTTAAGCTAGCTTTTGCAAAGCGGTTAGCTTAAAAGTGTAACTTTCGTATATTTGCTGTATACTAGGCCGTTACTGGACTACAAGAATCATCGTCACTGATCCCTGGGTATTTTTTAGACGGACGATTAATTAAATCCCGAATTAATAATTTCTCTTACGTATATGAATTATATTGAGTATATGAAGGTACGCAAAAACTTGTATATCTTATCAAATAACATGCTTATGTAGTTAAATATTCTCATGCACTCACATTTTTTCGTATTGAAAATATCCTCTCGCTAAATTTAACCCTTAATCTATGTTACAAACGTTACCATGTTTTTTTTTAATTACAAGTCTACAATCAGAGGGTTTCTTTATTTCAAAAAAAAATCATTCTTATTTTTCTTTTAGATTATCTTATCAACTAAAACACTAGAGCCTCGTCGGTACCTTGTATCACGAACTACTATGCACGGAAACTTAATCGGTCTCTTTGTGGAACCCTCGCCTTAATAGTTAACTTTCCTTATATATATACAAAATTACGTTATAAGCTCCACAAAGGAAACGGTTAATCCGTCAAACCGAAAGATCGAAATCATGGAATTCTTGTAGAGTGCTTTTCAGGAAATTATTTTAGCAACGACTTTGACACAAAAAATTGTTGCTAAAATATTATTGTTAACACAAGTTGTCGACAGCCGAACAATTTTAGGAGAAATCCTTGATCAAGGGATTGCCGTGGTCACAGGGGACAACCGTTTCTCCAGGTCAAAGAGATACTGTTGTCGCGGTGAATTTGCTGAAATTGTTCGGGGTTAATCATTGTGTTAATATCTGAAAATAAAAAAAATATATAATTATAATTTAATTAAAAGAAATGTAATTAATTAGGTGTTGACACAAATTTGATATGAAGAAAAAATTCGTATCTCAAAAAGAAAATGAGATATCATAACATTTTAAAATGAATTTAATGAAGATTTATTTTGGCAGAAATAATCCCTTAATTTTCATAAACCCCGATGTTAGAATTTTTTAAAATCGTATACCGCGAATTTCAAAGAGACGCACGGCTAAAAACGAATGTTTCTGGTTCTAGGTCTAGTGTTAGTTCTACTTTTCGTTTAATAAAATTATACTACAATCTAACGCTAAATAACAATTAAAACCAGAGCTTACACTAGACCTAGAAATAGAAACATTCGGGTTTAGCCGCACGTCTCTCAAGACGGCCAAACCCGAATGATTCTAGTTCTAGGTCTTGTGTTAGTTCTAGTGATAGTGCTAGTGCAAAACTCGAACTAACATTAGACCGAGAACTAGAAACATTCGGATTTAGCCGCACGTCTCTCAAGACGGCTAGACCCGAATGATTCAAGTTCTAGGTCTTGTATTAGTTCTAGTTTTAGTGTAATAAAAATATGTAACAGTATTCAGCGTAGTTCTAGTGTTAGTCTAGTTTTATTAGTTATTCAGTGTTAGATTGTTATATATTTTTATTGAGCTATAACGGTCACTGCGTTCCCCGTATTGATCCGTTATATCGATATTTTACTGTAAAGTCAAATTATATTCATATGTAACATTTTATGTGGGACAAAGTAAGTAGGTACGCCCTGGTTTCTATGGAAATATATTTTTGTATTTTGCATCTTAACTGAAATTCACTGTATATCGTAGTTAGATATTTTTTTCTTATAGTTTCCGCAGTAACATCAAAATATCCAATTTATAAGCAAACGCAATTTTAATTTCCTCTGATGCGACCAGCGGGAGCAGTTCGTCTGTAAGGTTTGTACGTTGCAGCGGTGGTCTCATAGAGGGCGCATATGCATTATGTTTCAGCCCTGTTTGTAGAGTTTTGCTTTTCACATTTTACGAGCCAAACCCGTACGATTTAATATTCTTCCTGCATGCGTCGTATTTCAGCATATTTAGGCAGAATCTATTCGTCCCGGTACAAATTCGGTGCCGTTTCGGTTCCGTAACGCGATCGAAACGAAAAATTGAAGCTTATTGCGTTCCGGATGAGACGATTTCGACTCTAAAATAAGCGCGTTAACATCCGGGAAATGATGCGACGTCACGCCGTATTAGGACGCGCGTGTGCGTTATTTGGTCAAATGGAAGGTAGTGTCGCTTCTTACGCACAATTCACCGGGACATTATAAATAAACAGGCGGTCGAATGATGTAGAATGCCCAGCCGCAAGACGCGCTGTGATACAACCGTTTGCTAAGAATAGTTAGCTGAAACTATTCCCGTCTAAAGCTGGCCTACGAGGAGTCGACATAGGTCAAGTCTGAGGAAATCGTTAGATATGCGGTAAACAACTTTGGTCCGTACGCTCCTGCATGCAGACATTTATGTAGAAGAAGCCACCGTACACGCTACACTTATAGATTTAAGAATTATTCGTTACGTGCCAACGTTTTGTATGCTACTATAACTCCCTTCTTGATAAAGGCTGCTTGAATTTATAAGAACCATTTTGTAAAACAGTTTAGATAACGAATACCAGGAAATTATTCGCAAATATCTACGAAGTATTTTGAATGCCACATTTAAATTTATTTATTAAATGGCATTAAGATGGTTGCAGGTGTGTGTGATGACTTGCAAAATGTCTTTGTGTGTCGAAACTTCGTCTGCTCCAGATTTACATTTTGCGCCGTCGTAAATTACGCAATTTTTAAGAGGAAATGACTTAGTGGATGCGGCTTGAAAGAGTACTTTTCATTTTGTAACTCTGTTTTGAAAGTTGGTCCCGTCTGCTAATTATATACCTTCGCGGCCATATGTTCAGTCGTTTGGTTCGAAAATAACCCGTTCGTCTTTTAATTTATTACGCATTTCTTTCGTTTCGTTTTGATCCCGTTTCACGTACCCGTTTAAAGAAACGAGGTATTATCCTACATTTATAAATAGCGGCGGTACTCTCCGTTTCGAGAAAACAGTCCGTCTTTTCCGCCCATCACACAATTTCGAATCCACATAATGTGTTTGGAAAACAAACAGTGTCAAATGTATTTGACAAAAATTCGCCGCTGTGTTTTTAGGGTCTATCGTAAAAGTTCACTGTGTAGCGGTCATTTCGAATTTTACGGAAAATATTTACGTTTCCCAGCCGTCCGTTATTTTTAGATTTTATCGCCGCGTTCGTTATTTAGTTTTCAAGTTTTAGTATTGTTCCCGATATTAAGTCATTTGATATTTTGCCAGACACATGAATGTCTAGGTCCCGTTTATTTACTATATCCCGGCTAGATATACGCAAAAGCGACGACTTCTAGATACGATCTTATAAACTGTGTTTCAGCCGTTTCCTTCGTAAAGAAGGAAAAAAGAGTAAATTTCCCAATAAATATGTCGTAAGTATACGTCGTTCGCCAGTTAATGACTATATTTACTGCGCATTATTCTACTAAAAGGATCGTTCAAAGATCCGAATTTATGATTCTAACGCATGGTATGAATAAACTTGCTTTACATCTAAGTATATTATTTTATCTTATTTTAGTACTTAAAGATCAGTTAGAAATGGGGAATCAAGTTATTACGCATGAATTATCTTTGAAATGAACACTTGAATGAAACGTCAAATTAAACTTAGCAAAATAAGCACATTTCATTTATGTGGAACTTGCTAATCCACACGTGTCTACCCAGATAGAACTGATGAAATAAACTTTATATAACTTACTTCAAATTATTATGATTAAGCACGACTTAATCCACTAATACCCAACAGAACGTTAATGACCGTTAATTTGTTTTCTTTGATTTCTAGAGCGCTGGTAATTTCTGGAATTAATATTCTTATAAAGTATTTAATCTATATAAATCTTATAATCTGGAAAAAGTCTTATGGAAGAATATCGGAAAGTTGTCAAAGTTGTAGCGCCTCAGTCGCAAGTGATTTCGGCTAAGTTAATAATTGAGAATGAGTTGTTTAACGTTATTAAGCCGAGGCATCGCAATTGATCCCACTTCAATACTTTGGTCGCAAGCGACCTCGACTAATGTTACTGTAGCGTCTTGTCGAGAATTGTTCAACTTGTTTGATGAAGCTGTCCAATTGTGTTGATGTGTTGTCCAATTTTATGTTAACGTGTGGTTCATTGTAGTTCATCGGCTTGATACACTATGATCATAACCATAACACTGCTCCAGCTACATCCATTACTGCCTAACACTCTTCACACCTATCTTAAGCTACGTCCACACGAAAAGGAACACAAAGGAACATTGTGTTAATGTTGTTTGTTCCTGGAACTTGTATCTCAACGTTTCTGGATGTTCCTTATTGTTTATGGTTGCAAAAACAAATGTAGGAGCAACTTGTAGGAAAGTTGCTTGTTCCTACAAATATAATCAGGAAATTTAGAAACATCTGTAAACATCTTTGTTTCGGACGCAGTGTGGACACGTAGTAACTTGTTTCAGAAACATCAAAAATGCCGAGTGCTTGTAGAACCCACGGGATAAAAGCTCGTTACATAAAACAAGATTCAATATTCTTTAATGAACTCATAAGGCGTGTATTTCTTTCTAAAAGAAATTTTCTCTGTTTTTGCAAAATAATAATAATTGCAACCACTGCTGCCTGTAAATCATCATCGCACCACATCGTATTCTGAAACACTAACCTGATGTAGACGGAAAGTTTCTTGTTGTGGCAACACAGTGATGAGCGAATAAAATAAATTTTCTTGGTGTGGACGGAATGTTTACGATAAATTTGTTATTGTTTCTGCTTCCCAAACAGGTTAAGACAATCAGGAATAAAATGTTTCTTTGTTGTGGACATACCTTTACATTCCACCACAATGCATACCTAACAATGCGATTTCACACTTTCTACTACCTAACGCCACATCCCCCTTTCATACACATCCTTCCGCAGGAACAATTCCTGTACCATCAGATTCTCTTTCTCGCAACTTAGACCACATTGAGCATGGCCGCTCTTCCCCTCCTAAAATTAAGTTGAATCTGGTTAACACTAATCTACTTATAGTCCACACTCCGTTCTATCAGAGCCACCGCGGCACGATACTCTAGAGTTGTCAGCGATCAATTACAACTGAGTATCACTGCGAAAAGTAGATAAGAGAGAATTGAAAATGGACCTTAGGAATAACTCTGCAATGATCTAAACAAAATCACGCACAACTACGTGATGAATTTTTTAGGTCCCAAAACGTTCTTTCAACTCTCCACTGATTACTGCAACGGCAGACCTAAAGACAGATATAAGATGATCACAAATTTTGAGATATTATTTGCGAAACATAATTTTCATCAAACATTTTATACTTTCAAGATCTTTTTGTTGATTTCAAATAATGTCAACTCAGTCTTAATTTAAGAATATAAATAAGTTATGATGTAGGTACAATTAAATGTTTTGGTTCACATAAATATTACGGGGAAGTTATAAATAATTTGGTGGCTGAATACCAGTTGATAGTCACACCTGCGGTGGAACATTGAAACAGTTTCAAAATGTATAATTTAAACGATCGTAAATCTGTTATCGCTGGCGTTTCGGAGTTTGGGCCGGCAGTCATTAAATATCGACATCGCGCTCGAGCGTTGACGGTGTTGACGTTAAAACCGCGTAAACGTTTCACTAGTTAACAACTATAACCGCACCTCTTTCGGAAGAATAACAAACAATAAAGTCGATAGCCCTTGGCTGCTTCCCAGCTACTCTAGAATTACCAGCGGGAATTCACCGTTAAGCGCGCTTTTGGCGAGAATCACAATATTTATCAGCTTGCTCACGCAAGTATTTGGCGTACTGTAAGGAGTTTCCGATTGCTTTAGCCAAGGTTATGTCTCAAACTTTATAATATAATAAATTTAGAGTAGATTTAACTTTATTCAATAACGGTGTGAATGAGTATTTAACAAACAAATAAACACTACACTTTAAAACCTATCTAAACCGGACTGATTAACAAATACACATATATCAAACACTTGGGTTTTATTTGCGCAACCGAATCAACTCAATAAATAATTTGTGTAATGTAACGCTTATTTTTTTTTATTTCGTTTTTTTTAAGAACACTGTTGACGTAATCTTTCAACACATTTCGTAGAATCCAAGAAGTCAATAACGTAGCGCCACGTGTAACGGTATGCGTGAGCTTCTGGGTGCGACTGAAGCCGCTGCTGAAAACCAACTGTTAATGGCCGTTGATGTTACAAAGTAGCATTTTCAGGGTTGGCTCGCTGCATGTAAACAGTGAAGCACCCCACTTGGCGCATTCTCTGGTCGGCACGTGCCAACTGGAACCGTCAATGGACACGCACATTGGCATCCAAGGTGCCGCCTGCTCCAATAAAGAACCTTGGCTCCAATAACGGGGAAATCCCCAGCTCAAGCCAAATACCCACGTGTTTAGATAAATATTAGTTTTATTGTAAAAAATTAAGGTACTTAACAAGCACGTTATCGATACAAGATTAAATAACATTAAAACTTGAGAAATTCTAAGAAGCGATTTTGAACCTAATAAAACTAAAATATCGATGCTATAAAAGGGGGAATGTAAGTCAATGGAGCCGGTTCGAAAAATAATAGTACATTGACTTTATTATAGCAATATAATACGTTTATAGGATTTCATATATATAATTTAAAAAGCAATGTTTATTTCTCTTCTTCTTACTTCATGACTCTTACTTCACAAAGTTGGTTTGAAATTCGGAACAAATAAAAATCAAACAAAAACCCCCCTTAACTCGACGACGAGAGAAATACTAAATCACGAGAAGTCGCCGCGGAAGTTTTTCAACAATCGCAAACAATTATAACGGAACGGCACCAGCAGCAAAAGCAGAAGCAGCGCAGTGCGTTACACCCTTTTGAACTAGAATTTACGATTTAGCAGCGCCTCCGTGTTTACCCGGAGCCGTTGTGTCTGGAATTTATGTGGCGCGAAAATTTATTAATTTCTTTCTAAAATATATATGAATACTTAAGGGGGACGCGCGAGAATATGCGGCTAGAGCGTGTCAGACAGAGAAGAGAATCCGATGAACGGCAAAACAAGAACATTAAACTGGCGACGTCAGCGCGGAAATAAAGTAAATTTAATGCTCGAACGAACGTATAGACTGATCATCCCGTAAAATAGGTCAGAGGATGTGATTTTAGAGAAAATCACGTTGGACCGCGAAACGGGGCACTGCGGGTATTATTTTTTCGTACGCAGCCCCGGAAAATAATGTTGAAGTCGTTTATTTTCGGTTGATATATTAATAGTGCGGTTATTTTCGACAAGCGCGTCTTTCTTTTTGCGAAACCGAAACGACGTTTTTTTTTAACGTGTAATTTTTTTTTAGGGAAAGTTTTTAACGTACCTTGAAACGCGCTCCGGATCTTTCGTAGTAGTGTTGTCGGTATCCATGGTTCCGATGGTGAGGGCAAGTCGCAAAGAAATTCGTCAAGGGTTAGTTAGCGCATGGTTCGGGCTTCGTCATGTGTTGTTGGGCTATTTTGGATGGGTTTCTTTCGAGGGCGACCAGGAGCCAGAGGCTCCTCGTGCCGACTGAAGCTGCACCGCGGCGCGCTGGCTGAAGTCCAAAGCTTGTGCCATCCCCACCAGCAACGGCCACGTCCATCCACAAGCCTGGATCACTGCAGTCGCTCCGTTGGGACAATATGCATGCACCGGTGTTTATGTGTGGCACCACGAGATATTTGAGACCGCATCTTAACCGATTTTGTTAATCCCACTGATTTGCTAAACATGACTGGTTATCATACTCAATTAATAATCATATTTATCATGTTTACAAATATGTTAAACTTATATATTACAATTGGTGAAAGTAAAAATATATCTCGAATCAGGAAGTTATGAATAAATCGTTATTTATATTACGTAATTAATATTTTATGTAGAATGTTACATCACTCGAGATAAATAAAACATATTTTGACTCAAAACAAAAGCTTGTGATTTCTATAGATTAAAAGATCTAAATTATAAATCTTGTTCTAGAATATCCAGAAATTATTAATGATATTAAGAAGTTTCTAAGATTCATTTCTAAGCTATTTGTAAAGATATCTAAAAATTTTCACCAACTGCTTAGTTTCGAGTTGATATGATGTTAATTGTAGACTCTCGGTAGCAAGAGACCTCGGCTTAATCGGATGAAATCATATATGTTCCACTTTAATGAAAGCCGAAGCCGCTTACGATGGAGGCTCGACAATATGGTGTTTAGTTTCGGGTTGATGTGATATTAATTGTAAAGCTTCGGCCGCAAGCGACCTCGGTTTAATCGGATAAAATCATATATTTCCCATTTCAACGAAAGCAGAGGCGCAGCAATGCGCAATGTGATAATCAATTTTAGAATACTTGCCTCGCATTTATATTATGGTTATTTATTAAAAAAAAATATCGCAGTAAAGTTTATTGTAATTAGTGAAGATTTCTACGTATCACATGTTAATTTGGAAATTTTCGGGTACCCGGTTTATCTTTTATCGCGAGTTACGTAAAAAAAGTACCAGATTTTTGAGAGTGCAAGCAACTTTGTCTATTTTGCGATATTTTTTCTCCAAAACTTTTGACGAAAAAATTTCAAATTTGAACTGGTGGTAAACCGATGTGTTCTTAATGTGGGGCATACTTTATTTTTTTCAATATTCCATATAGTTTAGCAGAAAATCGCGGTTTAGTAGGTTGCGATGATTTCGAAAACGACCTCGCGGATTTCACCACGGTTTTTATCAAAATAAAATCGTGCGTCATAGACAGTACGTCGCGCCTTTATCTTACCTACATAAAGAAATAAGGCGCGACGTCCTGTCTGGGACGCACCATCTATTCCGATTGGACGGAACCCCCGTTACACCACAGAGCTTATTTCTGTTTCTCTTTAATTTGTAATTCTTTAATTTATAGATATAGGGTTGGGTTGGGGAAATTAAAAAACATGAAAAATGAGTTCAAACTCAATATACATATCTATAGTTCATTTTTTTTCTATAATACCTGTCAAATTGTTGTAAAGTTGGCAAAATTAACAAGGAATTTTGTTTTATCATGTTTTGAAATAGATACGTCACACTAACATTTGAGCTTTCGTTATTCCAAAAGAAAAGGTGCATAAAAAATGTTGTGGGGTGTTTATTTGCCATTTACTTACCTAGAAAAGGTGTTTTGTTCTAGTTAATTACTTTTTAGCACGTTTTTACAATAAATATGTACTTCGTTAAAATCGTATTTATCTACAAATTTATTAGTATTTTAACCTCAACTATTTAGTTACTGAAAATGTTACTAAAAATCAGGAAAATAACGTAAATTTTATAAGGGTCCTAGATAATACCAACAGAAACCCTAAAAAATTTACATTGACAAGTATTATAGAAAAAAAACGAACTATATGTGCTATAACACCCAAGACACATTTTTATATCAAGATGGCTTAAAATAAAACACAAATATATTGTGACATCTATGGTTTTAAAGGTGAATTGTATGACAGAATTAAAAAACATGAAAAATGAGTTCAAACTCGATATATCTAGGTGTTATAACACCCAAGATATTATCAAGATGGCCGAAAACAAAAGAAATATATTGTGACATGTATGGTTTTAAAATTGTATATCAGATATAGAGTTGGGATGGGTTGTAAAATGAGTCCAAATTCTATATAGGTGTTATAAGTTATAACACCCAAGATATTAACATTTTTATAAAATCAAGATGGCCGAAAACAAAACACAAATACATTGTGACATCTATAGTTCTAAAAGTGAATTTTATGATGGATATAGGGTGTGATACATCAAATTAGGTTAAAATTTTCTGATTTTTATGAAAATCTTACTTTTAATGATGTGTTTGAATTTTTAATATATTTTATTTTTAATTAAAGTCGTACATGTTGATTTTATCAAAAATATCTTAGTTGATATCACTAAAAAAATATTAACAAATGTGTCACAACGTTTCTAACTTGGATTGGTTGGCCGAATCTCTGGGACACCTGTTGCAAAAACTAAATTTATTCATATAAAGTTGCACTTTAAATAGGGACGAACGAAATAGTCTAATATTGTAACAATAATTTTTAGTATAAACACTTTCGTACGGTAAAGATTAATCAACAAAACGATTAATCTTGAAAACTATTTGTAAGTGTAACGAGTTCTTAATGCAAAGTGGATATACATAGTTCAGTTTTGTTACCTTCTAACAGGACAGATTTCAAGACTTGGATGGAATTTGCACGTTAAACGTGCAATATCGAATTGGTCGTCTGTTTCTAACCACATCGTCGAAGTAATATGGAAACGATTTCCAGGCAATTATCGAAACAATAACCGGAGACAACATATAGCGACATGATTTGGGATTTCGCATTTCGTAATCACAGCCCGAAGCGTCGGAACAACGACGGACATAACAGTAAAACGTTGGTCGCTTAACACCAGATCGGCGCGGGCTACACATTTTATTAGCGAATCGGGTATTTAATTCGCTCTCTGCGGTCACCGCCACAGTCCCTAACTACAAGCTGAAGTAGTGCCATTGTGGTAATTACCGTCGGGGCCAACTCGTTGCTGGCCAATAAATGCCATATAAACTAAATCGCCATCTGGCAATATCCGGTATCATTACGGTAAGCGTAATCTCGTGTAAACTGGGCCATTCTATTCAACGAATGTATCCTTAAACGTTGTTATAGATTATATACGTAGTTGAGTTTGCACAAAATTGCTTCAATTAAGTGTTTACGAAATAAATTTTGGTTTATATAAAGTTCAATATATATAAGTAGACCTTTTCCGAGACTACAAGAAATTGCAATGCTAAATCAGCAGATCGTTGAACGCGTATCGAAAACTACTCCTAAATACAGAGATAAACAAACCGTATAGAAACAAAACGCATCGAATACTGCAACGTCCCCGATTCATACCCCTGCAGCGCCAACCACCCCCAAAAACAATTCAGCCACTCCCTCGGCTAGACAGTCTGTCGTCCACCCCATAAATGGTTAATGTTTTATTTTATATACAAATTCACCATTTATAAGTAATTTATAAGTTATGTATTGAGTGTGTATATAAAGGAGAATTGAAGTATATATAAGGAGAAAAATAAAATTTAAATCCCGGATATTTATACGAGTCATTCGTTACTGCTTTCGCTGAGTTTGCTATCACATAAATTTTTGACGCTTACGCCGGCTTCGAAGTCGTCGTCGCGTGGTTCCAAGTGCAAGCCGCAGTGTAATGCCATAAGTCATCGCGTTGTGATTGGGGTTAAAATTAATAAGTATCTTGTAAATCTCCGCAACGGAAACATTAATTCTGTAAAGAGCGAGTTGAATGGTGGTGGTTCGACGCCCGTCCACGATTGCTTTTTCCCTCTAAGAGATAAACATAACTCTCAGATAAGGTCACCTCTACGAATGGTGCAGTGCAAATCAAGCGAACGAAATCCGATGCAGTATAATGCTTATTCTTTTTATCGCGTTTTATATAAAAAAAATAACTTTCAAGTTTTCTCTTTCTCGGGATTTACCGACGTTATAAAAGCAGTAATTTTCGGATTACGAGTACTATTAATTAAGACTTGAAAGCTGGAACAGATATTTCGCGAAAATCGCTTGAAAAACAAGTGATAATGGGCGGAAAACAAACGAGAAATGACGACGCTTCCTCGTTTGCCGTTCCCAGGACCCGTGACTCGTGACTCGTCAGCTCTAATGCCGTGTGAAAATTGTGCCATATGTATTCAGCAGACATTTTGACTGCACTAGCGGCGAAGAATTTCATTTAAATTTTACCATTCTTAATCACGTTTAGAGTCTGAATTGTAGTAGGCCATAGTCGGCATCGCGACGCCCTCTAGCATGTAAATTGGCGCGATTCTAATTCGAGGATGTTAGCCGGTCTATTTAATATAGCTACAGAATTTCGCTCGGCTTAAAATCATATGACTTCCGCTTGAACAGTCTCCTAGCATCCAAGAACTAACCGTAGTACGTTTACCAAGCAAATTAAGTCCGTAACCTCAAAGCCATCATTACGTACCGCAAAATGAACCATTTTTATTAAAATTTTAATTCGGTTCCATTTAATCTAAATAATCCAACTAAAGCAATGCGAATAGATACCAATACGTTTGAATACATTTGAGATTCTAAGGCAGGCTCAACCGCTAAATATGGTAGCGGCGTATGTAAGCTGCATTCTAATTAAGTGGGATTAAAATTAGCAGATAAGGGAGGACGAAGTCTAAGCCCTCCTTAGCGACCGGATAAATAACATCGGCCTCAGCGCGTGGAAAACCAAAGAAAACTGCGGTAACGGGGATTTCGAGATTAGAGACGTTGCGCATCGCGAAATATGGATATGGGTCTATGCAAATTTCGGTTCGTTTTTTCCGTTTATGAAAATGTGTTGGTGTCGGGTGGAGCATTTATCATCGTGCGTTGTTCGTGATGAATGAGGATATTTTGTTTCGACCGCTACCACCGCCGCCGAGCCACCGGAAAAGATCGCCCGAATGGAAAATGGACACAATAAACTCTGACTCAACGGAA